CTGTGGGAGACGCTGCTGCAGCGCCCGTTGCCAAGGAGAAGGCTGCTGGCTGTTTGAACAACAATGGCCGCCTTGTGAACATTCCAACTGTAGGTACTGACAGCTCATCAGCCACAGCCTCAACATACACACCTCTCACAAACGCACACACACACACACACGCACTGCTCACGCTACACACCGGTGCTACACCACCACTGTACCTCTCTGGTTCTTGGCCTCGAGCCTGAGCGAGGTAACACGTTCAGACACAAACACAATGAGCCATGCACACACACACACACACACACACACATCTGTGCACGCTCTAAGAAATTATGACTTCTGCTGAGAGGATAAGAAACCCTTCCGTCCCTCTCTGTCTACCTGCATCTCTTTACCATCTCTCTCTCTCTCTCACACACACACACACACACACACACGCACACAGTGCGCAGTGCATTCATCCATCTTCCCCCTTCTCCCCGACTACTCTCTGTCTTTCTCTCTTATCTCTTTCTCTCTCCTCCCCCTCCACAGCCTCCTGCTTTCTCTCTCTCTCTCTCTCTCTCTCTCCTCCCTTGCTCATCCCCTGCCTCTCTCTCTCTCCCTTTCCGTCTCAGGAAGTGTGTGTTCTCACTCTCACGCACACACACACTATCATCCTGGCACGCACACATGTGGAGGACACACATTCACACGCAGAAAGAGACACACACAATCTCTTTCTCTCCTGGAAGGTAGCGAATCTTTTCGTCCCTTGGGGGCATACACTTCCTCAGAGAAAGAGGGGGAAAGGGAAAGAAGAAAGAGAACTAGAAACAAGGGTGGAACGGGCAAGAGAGGAAGAGCAGGAGGAGGAGGAGGAGGAGGAGAGGAAGAGTGAGGAGAGAAGAAAGGAGGCGAAGAGGGTGAAAACTATATTCACGGCGGGGATTTATAGACAGACCCCTTAGTGCTCTGATTATCTGTTCGTATTGATGGGACGACATTGAAGCCACGCTGGTGGAACGTTGAGACGGCGCTGAAGCCAAATTGGGTGGTGGGGGGGTGGTGGGAGGGGAGGGTGTTGAGGAGAATCACTAACAAGTCTCTGCTTATCCTCTGACTCACTGTTTTTAAACACACATACCCAGACACATGTATACGCGCACTCACACGCCGCTAAAAACAAAGATAACACACTGACACACAAGCATTAGGAAACATAGAAATCAGCCATACTGTACATGTGTGAGTGTGATGATAGGTGTGTGTGTGTGTCGGGTTTGTGTTGAGTGCCAGACACAGAGAGATGCTTTTGTGTGTGTGTGTGTGTGTGCGTGTGTGTGTGTGTCTGCGTGTTTTCCCCATCTCTCGCTCCTCTTTAATAATTGAGCTGATTCTGTCCAGCTTGTTAGGGAGGTACACAGCAGCTTCACACTCTGTCTTTCTCTCCTTCTCATCTCTCTCTCCTTGTCCTTCCATCTTGCCGCTCTCCCTTCATTTATCAACCCCTTTCCCTTCCTGACCCCTCTGTCCTCTCTCTCACTCTCCTCCCCACCCACCCCTCTGTCCCTTCCCCCCTCAAGCTCTCTCCTCTCCCTCCTTCTTTGCAAATCCCTCCTGTTCTTTGACCTCTCCCTCGCCTCTTGCAGTTTCATCCTCCTCCCCCTCTACTCCACCTCGCTGCCCTCCATCATCCCTCTCCTCTTCCCTCCCTCCATCCTCCGGAGGTGAGAGGTCGAAGCTTCCTCTCCACTGTCAGACTCAAACCGGCTGCAACCAGCCCTGTGGGGGGGAGGGAGGGAGGGAGGGAGGGAGAAATGGTGTGAGGGAGACGAGGAGAATGAGGAGGTAGGTGAGGAAGGACGTATAGGAAAGGAGAGGAAGAAGTGGATAAGGAAGAAGAAGAAGGGACTGGCTAAAGGATCGGTATATGTGGGGGGGCAGAGGGGTTAAAAAGAGGGAAGGAGGCGAGAGAAAAGGGAGATGGGGAGATGTCTTCTTTTGAGTCACTGCCTTTGGCGCGGAGGAGCCGTTTTATGAATGTATCGTGTGGGAGGTGACAGAATGGAGCATACAAACACTGCTTACACTAATGCTAAATGGTTGCTGTGTGTGTGGGTGCATTTGTGTGCGCTTGCCTGTGTGTGTGTGGGAGTTGAACCACGTTTTTACCTGCCTGTGGCAAAAGCTATTTCACTTCAGGTGACGATTAGATTAATAGGAGTCATAAAAGACAGGACCCTTTACCCCAAGGACAAAGTAATGGCTAATTATTTTTTTTTGCCAGCAGTAGTAGCTTGTTGCATAGTAAAAATGGTAAAAGTTGGAAATTATTCAAAAAAAAAATCTCCTGTTCTCTGCATGAAAATTAGACATCTTAGAGTATATAAAGTTGTTTATTTTATAACAGCAGACAGTATCAACCTCACTGTTCAGTACAGCATGGAAACAATAGGAAAAAAAACACTGATATAATTTGCATCTCAATGTTCAGTTTACGCTTAGAGCTGTCTGAAGATGGCTCTAAACGCTCTATTCAACCAAATTCCGTCACTGCAAAACGATGTGAACTGTTTATGTGAATTTGTGCCCGAAAATCAATTTCTCGTGTAATTTATGAGGCATTTCAAGTACCGAGTTAAAAAGGCCTGACTCATTCACATCTGTGAGATAAATTTCCTTTTTTTGTAGCTCTTGTTAAGAGTTCAAAGAGGAGTGTCCGTTGATGCTCACAAAACATCTGTAACTGAAGAAAAAAAAAAATCTATTTGTTGTATTTAACAAATCTTGTAGAAGCCAAATTCCTGAAATGAGAGGCGTTGTAGTCGTAAAGAGGATCGATATTTGAACAGATTCAAATTCTGGTCGGATATCCTTTCAGGTTTAAACTTCTAAAGCTCTGTCTGATGGCATTTTTTATGTGTCGCCCCTAACTTGAGATAAAAGATTATTCACACAACCACAAAGAGTTTTACATAATGACATTTTCTCTGAAGTGAACCTACTTCGTGCTCAGAACTGATGCATCAACTCTTCAAACCCTCCATTCAGCCATTCAACAGGTTGCACCATCCTGAATATGACTCAAAACTTCCCCAAACACCATAAAATCAGCGGAAGTCACTAAATATACTGTACCATTAGGTGTTTCATGTGCCTGTGTGCGTTTGCGCGTGTGTATACATGATTATGTGTGTCCACTCTGTCTTCTCCATCTCCATGACGACCTCCATATCAAGAGGACGTCTGACTACGGCAACCTCACATGCTGATAGGCAGAGAGAGAAAACAGGTGATTGGTTGAGCTGTCGGCTGTCATATCAGCAGGGTGTATCTTTGTGACACTGCAACACACACACACACACACACACACACACTCTGACTTGTCTGTGCCATCAACCTACACGCCTACGAACTGCAGCAAGGCGCAAACAAAAGGTACTTCCAGAGCACAAACACACACACACACACACACACTTGGAAGTACACATGTGCATGCACACACACACACACACACACAAAGACAAACACACACAGATTTGAGACGAGATGTGGTGTGTTAGGTGCGCTGACCCTGCCAATGAGGACAGGAGGAACATCAACGGAGCTACAAGGCCGTTGCTATGACAACTAGCCCCGCTCACACAGGTAGGAAGCACAATAGGCCTAAGCTGTTATATGTTCACATTCTCTCTGTTTGTCACACACACACACACACACACATGCACGCACACACACACACACACACACATGGCCATGCACTCAAGACAAGTCTGACAGACAGCGGCAGAATGCCAAGGTAAGGCCATTTCCTTTTCATTCCAGCATTCACAGGGCTGAAATTATTCATTATGTCCAAGTGGACCTGCCAATAAGAGAACTCACTCTTCAACCAGCGACTGAGGGAGTGAGACTGGGAGAGTGTGAGACAGACAGACAGACAGACAGACAGACAGACAGAGCATCACTCTGCATACTAACAGCACCTGCACTAGGGCAGCCTGTGCACGTCTCTGAGGGGCCCTTAAATAACGAACTGTCACTGCCCAGACACTGACATTGACTTCTCTCATCCTCTCTCTCTCTCTCCTCTCTTTCAGTTTCTCTGCACTCTTTCTTTTCCTTTATTCCCCCCCCCCCCATCCCCGCCACACACACACACACACCCTTCGCCACCACCAACACCACACCACCTCCTCCTCCCCAACTAAACCACAGACAAGAGCTGATAATCACCACCATGAGTATGCCGTGCCTCCAGCTCACCGGCTCTGTTGCCACTGCAGGATGTGCTGCTGCTGCTGCTGCTGCTGCTGCTGCTGTGTCCTGCCTAACTGCCCTGACAGCTCATGGGGGGGTGGGTGAGGGGGGGGGAGGAAACCCAGGGGTGGGGGCTCTCACTGGGAATCTCTGTCTCCTGTTTATATATGAAGCAAACATCTGTCCATCAGCAGGAAGAGTTGGGCTGACAGTCAAACCAATGGTATGTGTCACTGAATTTATTATCAGAAAAGTCCCAACAAACTCACCCACAGGTAAAAAAAAAAAAAAAATCTATAGAGAAAACAAATAAACAAGAGAGAGTGTGCCAGCAGTGTGACAGTACCTGGGGAGGTACTGTAAACTGCTGCCCTGCCTACACTGTATATATATATTCAGTGATAATGATGTTAATAGGTGAGAATGTTGTAAATAATCAGAAAAACAGGTGGGGGTACACAGGGTTCACTGCGCGCACATTCAACCACACTGCGTGTGTAGGCTATTTGTGTGTATGTGTGTGTGTGTGAACATCATCATTTAGGATCTCACCACACACGCTGCGTGCCCACAGTAAAGCCCAGATGACCCAGCAGCACGAGCAGTACGCATGCAGATCTGCGTCCGGTACCGACGTGGTTAATGTAAGAAAAAAAAAAAAAAAAAAAAAAACTCAACAAGAGACGTAGCCAGAGGTGCGCAGCACAGCTGGCTGAGTGGACAGTAAGCAAATGTGTGCTGTTTGGTACATAAGACGCTGCACGCGCACTCACCGGGGTAGAGAGACGGAGTCCGGGGGCTCGCGCTGCCTGCTGCTGCGGTGTCAACGCTGGCTGGCTGGCGGGGCTGGCGGCTCGCGCGGCTGTCGGTGGCGGGGGGCTCGCTCCTCTTCTCGCCCGGGTCACGGAGCGGTTGCCTCGGCGGCTGCGGCCGTCGGCGAGCGGCGTTCCCCCTTCATCTGCGCTCCCCGCGTCGGAGGGAGACAGTCCTCCCACATCAATGTTCAAGCGCTGTCTCCTCCCGCCGTCGCGCGCCACCGTCAACGGGAGAAAACCGCTCCTCTGGCTCACATCAATATCTGCACCCACAAAAGATGGGAAAGCAAAGAGGAAAAAAACGAAAAAGCTTTTAAAAATAAGAAGCAGGGACGTTGCTTGACAGTTTTCTGCTCAGTTAAGGCGCTGACACAACGGCACTCGAGCCCGGTGCTCCGGTTTTGGTGACAGGCGCGGGACTCCCCAGTATGCGGGAGGCGAAAATCGACCGTGCGCCCGTGCGTCTCTGCCTCTGCAATTCCAGCTCTCTGTCTCTCGTGCGCCCCAGTCTCCGTTGTGCCTCTCCAACGTGCCTGACTGTCAAAGCCATCCGGGCACCCGTAGCTGGCTTCACTTTGCACCTCTGGAACTATGGGAGCGGTAGTTTTCTAAAGGCAGAAAGCGCGAGAGATCGTGAATTTCGACGGAGGGCAAATGTAAAGGCAGGGAATACTCACCTGGGATTGCTGAAACAGTTACAAATGTAAAGCGATGTTTTATAATTCTGAAAACAACATAGAAGAAAGAAAATCTGCCCTATTTAAAAAGATAAATCAGTTCAATATGTCTTTTTTCTATGATAACATGTCTTTGGTATTTAGTGGAACGAGTCGTTTCTTTCATATAGATTTATACATGCATATATATTTAAATCAAGCAAGTATTCAGAAGAAATAAAAACAGTTTCGTGTCTTGCTTTCAAAATCACATTCAAGTACAAGCAGCTCTGTACTGGAGGTAATACAATATGTTCCCTCAGTTTTATATCGGTGTATCAGGTTTTGTGCATTGATCACATTTGATTATTATTATTTTTGTTATTTAAATTACACTGCAAAATATTAGCATAGCTAATTAACTGATGCAGTGAAATAAACATACAATAATTCTGAAATATATTATCAAAATACCTTGGTGCATCAAAATTGCACTTAAGTACAGCACTTGAGAAAAACAAAGTAGGAAATGATAATTGACTTCAGGGGGGGGAAAAAACAAGCTGTTCCTATTTGTTCTTTTGGTACAAGTACAGGTATCTGGGGACAATAATCAATAAGTCAACCTTTGCACCAACTACACTGGTAGTTGGTGCAAAGGCCCATCAGCGCTTACGCTTTTATCCGAAGCTCTGAAGTTTTAATGTTGACGTGATTTTTATAAGAATGATTTATTCTTGTTTTACTGAGTCAGTTTTAACCTTCTCTTTTATTTGCTGGTTTGGGGCTCTTTCTTTGAAAAACAGAAACAGGTTAGAAGGAATTGTTAGAATGTGCAGCGAAATTGCAGGCACAAATCTAAATGACCTACAAAGTCAGAGTCACAAAGAGAAAGCACCCATTGTTCAGTGAGTTGAAGTTGCTTCCACTTGGTCAAAGGCATAATCTGCCAAGATGGGGGAACAAAAGATGTAAGAACTCATTTGTATTTAAGGTTGGTTGTGCAAATAATTACCATTATCTTTACCTAGTTACATTCGACCGCTGCACATCACAAAACTTTAAAATCAATGCTGTGACAATGTAAATGCCCAAATACACACATATTTAGAGACGTGTCGTACCCTGGAAAAGATATCTGATCTTTATTACAATGACATGACAGGAGAATCTCAACACGAAGGTTACATTCTTGTCACAAAACTTCATTTAAAACACTATCCTTCCACAGGCCACATTTATCTTTCCCCCTTTATGTGTGACATTTCGGCTTGCCCTCCCAATGGATGAAAACTGCATACATGCTAACTAGATATGGAATGCTTTGTGATGCACAGATATATCTGAGTTAAATTAAAACAACAAAAGAGACAATTCATACAAAATTGTCATAGAAAATATCACACAAATAAAACAAATTCCTTATTATCTCTTAGATTTTCCTAACACAGTATTAAAGTTACTTCATCTAAAACAGTCTTCAATTTGACCACATTAAGGCACATGTTGGTGGAAACATTGAAGGAGACAGACATGGATGTGGTATCGGTTCAACAGCATTTTTTTTTTTTCCCCTAACTACTATGAAGAAGAAGAAAACAGACCTCTGTTCGGCTATTGCAGAAGTGTGAATCTTCTCAAACCTGAAAAAGAAGTGCCTGTGTCTGTACATAATCTAGTCAGTTACCACACAGGTTCACGGGGTTCATTGACAGTTTTTAAAGACTGTATTTAAAATGTCGTCTGATAACCTGTCGCACCTGCGAGCCTCTCTGTATCGTCACATTTATCTCCGGCAAACAGTTGATCCACTAAAATGCTCTTCTGAAAAAGAGAAATCAAAGGACCTGAACATATATGGCAGCTGAACAGATCATGTACCCACTCGACTTCCCCCCACCCCAACACAACCATCTACATCTTCTTTCAGTTCCTTGTTGTCATGGTTACAGAGTAAAGCAACATTACTGCAAGGCCTGACCAGAAGAGCTCCGAATCTGCTCTTCAACGCGGTGAACGGGTCTGTCCTGAACGGGCTATGGCGATCGGGGATCAAAGTGTCTTTAAACAGTTAAACAAGGAAATGATATGTATCTTTATATTTGCGCATCAAATACACCGAACGCATGTATATGTACTATGACATGCCTGTTGGTGTATTTGTATGCATGCGCCTACGTCTGTCTCTGTCCATTTATTGCTCCATGTCTGTTCTACGCCTGTGTGGTCACAGGTTTTCTCCAGGCTGATACTGCGGCTCCGTGGCGGTGAAGTAATCCTCCAGGAAGGACTGGAGGTACTCAAAGGTGTGCCTCTCGTCGGCCTCCCGCCTCCAGCACTGCACCATCAGTTCATGGAGCGAGGCGGGGCAGCCCGGGGCGCAGGGCATCCGATAGCCCCTCTCCACCTGCTCCAGCACCTCACGGTTGTTCATGCCTAAAGGGACGGAGCAGAGAGGGAGGATGCGGATGTGGCAGAGGAAGAGCAAAGGTTGATTAAAGACACTCTGGTTATAGAGACAAAGATGACAAGACTAAAACATTATCAAAGCAGGAGTGGTGGGAACATTTGAGCTGATTGCGTCACCGTCAGTATTACGTTAAAAATACAGCACGGAAATCTGGGCTAAACATGTAAATAATTCAAACAAACAAATATATGTGTTATATTCATTAGCTGCATTATAAAGGGCTTTAAGCTTAGAATATTTTCAAAATAATTGCGCAAGTAAATGTAAGGAGTTTAAATACTTGTGGCTTCAGCAAACTATAAAACAGCTATGAACTTGTAACAGGTCTGACAAAAAGGGCTGTCTGTGTTTAATTTATGACATTTTCTGTATTTATCCTTAAATCACTGCATCCCTGATTTTATACAATTTACGAAGGTATGCATATTGCTGCCATTTGACCAGTCTCACATTACTCTTCTGACCTTCTGTGAATTCTGATTATTCTTTTCGTATTTTATCTAATTCACAATAAATCTGTGTAATATGTGCTATAACAAGATGGCACTGCTAAATTGGCCATGACTGCCGTGTAAAAGAGACTTTTAATCTCTGGAAGACAGTCAATAGTTCATAATGTAAAATGTCTGGAGTAAAGGAACAGTACAACATAAGTGCCATAGAAAACTTAAAATTACCATTTAATCTTTTTGATCAATATATTTTCTTTAAATCAGCAATTTTGTTAGTGTATCAATAATAGCCTGCAAGTGAAAGAAATGTGTAATTTATTGCACCCATAGAAATAAGTGCTAAAGGACATAGAGTGCAGTAAAACCAGGAAACGGCATGATCTGCATGCTAATTTACACAGCGGGGTGGCAGGTGCTTAAGAAAGAGTCACCCCTCTTTCTCCATTTACTCGTGATGCTCTATTGAGCAAGGTGCTTAAGCCATGAAGTCTCCAGTGGAGCTGTTCAGTGACCAACAGCGCTGTAATGAGGTTTGTTTGGTGTGAAAATGTAAGCCAGCTCCCCAAGCCTCTGTCATCGGCAACTACTTTTACAGATAGTTGCTATATAGGAATGAAGGTGGAAATGTGCGGAGAATTTCCAGCCAGCGATGATGAACTGGTGAAAATTACAGAACAAGCAGAGTATTATCTCGTACCTGGATACGGCACACGTCCCTTAGTGATGAGTTCAGTTAGTAGGATGCCAAAGCTCCAGACGTCGGACTTGATGGTGAAGCGTCCATACAGTGCGGCTTCTGGAGCCGTCCACTTAATGGGAAACTTTGCCCCTGAAACCATGGCAACACAGTGAAGATTCATAATCATGTAATTAGAATAGGTTATGTATAAAAATATAGGCATGGAAGCAGAAGTAGACACCTTTAATCATAGCACTGTGCAAGCGTGGCACTCCTCATATACACACTTAACATGACATCCTCCTACCTTGTCTGGCTGTGTACTCGTTGTCCTCAATGAGCCGAGCCAGGCCGAAGTCAGCGATCTTGCACACCAGATTGTCTCCAACAAGGATGTTGGCTGCTCGCAGGTCACGATGGATATAGTTCATGCGCTCGATGTACGCCATTCCAGCCGCAATCTGCACACCCACGGAGACAAAAAGCGTTCAGTGCTGTAGCGGAATTACAAGCTTCCTTTAAATCTGTCACATTGTGTTTGTGTCTGTCTTTAACTCACCTGTGCAGCCATGTCCACCAGCTGAGGCAGCTTCAGGCTCTGCCCCTCTCCATCTTTTAAGAAGTCCAGCAAACTTCCTGAAAAAGAAAGAGCGACAGGTATGATCATGACAGTCCCTTATGCCCACTGCGGCAAACGCATTTTCTGCTGTGTCGAAAACTGTACATCATGAAACATGCACCGAGCTAGGTGCTTGTACATTCAAACTGTGACACATTTTCGTAATCTCCTCTGCACAAACACATTTCAGTTTCAACTTTTGCCTAAGTCTTTATAGTTTTTAGTGAATGTTGAAGCAATATTTTGCCTGCCCCGAGGCCATCTCCACGGGCAAGTCAAATGTCATGCTCAGAGAACCAAAGAGTCTTCCACATTACAAAACGTCTCCCTGATCACCACCCTTCTGCCAAATTTTTAATGTGTTGAGTAAATGTCTTCAGCGTTGACAGTTTATGTTTTACCCCTGTTTGCTAGTGTGGATGCTGAGAAGGATACCTCAAAAATGTCATTTAATAAGATGGATGACAGTTAGGACAGTGGCCAATTTAGAAGTGAATATTTTTGGTACAGATCCAGACACAGGATTTATTTATTTATTGGAAAGGTTTCTTTACAAGAAAGAGTGCTTCTGAGAATTGAGCATTTTCAGAAGCACCCTATTATTTTCTCATGAACTACTGCACTCACGTAAATTAAAGAAATCTACTACGTGCCCTCTGATTGTTACAATTCATATTTTAATGCATTCCAAGTGCAGATTTATAAAAAAATCTACACATATTTTCTTATTTATAACATTTCTATTATACATTTATTACTTTTGATCTATTAAAGTATTACTATGGCAAATTGAGAGATTGTGTACCCTTAGCGGTGGTATGAATGCTTTTGATTTTTTTTCCAATTTCTGCAGCATTCAATTTAGAAGTTAAGCATCAGTGAGGCTTTCACTTCCTCCTGTAAGGGCAGCAGTTCATATCTACAGTACGTCAGAGTCGTGACAGTTTACTCAGCCTGATACCTTGGCTCATGAACTCAGTAATAATGTAAATGGGCTCCTCAGACACAACGGCGTAGAGCTGCACCAACTTGTCATGACGGAGTCTCTTCATGATCTGAGCCTCCTCCAGGAAGGCCTCGGGGGACATGGTTCCTGGCTTCAGAGTCTTCACCGCTACCTTGGTGGTGCCGTTCCACATGCCTGGCATACAGACAAGCGGATGTTAATGCACGCACGGAGCATGAACACACACACACACACGGACGCACACACACACTTACTACACAAGCACGCACACCTTTTCTGTCATAGTGATGGCTGCATATACACAGAGTGATACGCTACGTAGATGGAAACACCCACACATACAAAACAATGCACAACATGACGGCTGTAACAAACAAACACATGTGGTCACACTTCTGGTGGGTGCATATGACTGTTAGTTTGGAGAGCATGCATGACATGACAAGGTGAGGTTAGGAGGGTCTGGGAGGTGGGGGAGGTTTCTGGTCTTACATCAACACCAACAGCACCTGAGTTACATGGACAGGCACAGAGCGCGGCTGGCCTCGGGGAGAAACTCTGCACGGCTCAGAAACCCAACACACTCGGATTCAGTCAGGGAAATTGTATGACAGCTTTGACAGAAATTGGTCATAGGTGTAATTGCAAAAACATCCTGTGGGAAATACCAGCTAATATGTGAAAAAATTTGCTTACATAAACTGACATAAATGGCCATCCACAGCCAGACACTGAGCATTACCAACAATCTTTGCCACAGGACAGTAACAGACGCTGCAAAGGACAATGCTAGACAGACAGTTTTCCCTCTAAGCCTGTAGCAGGTGTCAGAGGTTGGCGGTATCAGTCTCACCCATCCATACGTCCCCAAAGCAGCCCTGTCCAAGCTTCGTTTGCATGGACAGCGTTTCCCTTGAGACCTCCCAGGCGTCTCGCCCAAGACCCATGGTGAGCGGGGTGCTGTTGGGACAGGCCTTTGTCAGGTAATGACACAGGCCGTCATTAGAGCCTACGAGGGGGAGAGGGTAGGTGCCAAAGATGGTTGAGATGAGGGTTAGGGAGGAGAGGAATGGGTGATTGAGAATGGAGAAAAGGAGTGTAGTAATGGGTGGAAAGATGAAAGAAAGATGGGTGGGGGGGTGACAAAGAGGTGCATTGAGATGATGAAACATGCACATGCAATCATGGGGGAGGAAGGGAGCAGCTCTGCACACCTGGATGTAAAAAAAAAACATTTCAGTAATTAACAGCAGACTCTATGGGATTTTTCTTACTTTTTTTTTTTTTTTTTTTTAAAGAATCTGGTGCAGAGAACTTCTTTATTTTCTGTGTCTGTGTGGTCTGATCCCAAGGTATATTTGTTGCAAGCATAGGCAGACAACAAAGACAGATCACAGTAATTATAACAGCAGACTCTATGGGATTTTTCTTACTTTTTTTTTTTTTTTTTTAAAGAATCTGGTGCAGAGAACTTCTTTATTTTCTGTGTCTGTGTGGTCTGATCCCAAGGTATATTTGTTGCAAGCATAGGCAGACAACAAAGACAGATCACAGAGCTTTACAGTCTTTGTTTGTAAGGTCTTCACACTAGAAATGTTTACTGATGTTCTTCAAACTCAACCAACGCTCAAACGTATTATATGTACCTGCTGCTGCTGCTGCTGCTGCTTAAATATTGTTTTATTCAGGTGTGCTTCGGCTGTTACCTCCTCTCCCTCAAACACAGCCCCACCGGTCCTACCCATCCAGACTTCTCCGAACTGGCCGTTTCCCAGTTTCTTAATCAGCTGGAGAGATTCACGGGGAATCTCCCACATATCCTTGGTCTTCACTGATAAGTCGGCCAGCTTAGGCATGCCCCGCTTACAGCTGCCAATCAAACGGCAGCACAGTCCTGCCGCTCTCTCTGAGAGAGAGAGATGCAAACAGACAGGCAAAAAGAGGAAACAAGAAGAAAAGAAAACAGAACAAGTGCAGAGATAAAGAAAGGACAAGACAGGTTGCTTATGTGCTTATGCAATTGACAAGTTAACCAAAAACTAAAGAACAAACACACGAGGACATTCAGCGCAGCAGACAGAAACACACAGTCTGAGCAGATACAAAAAAAGGCAATACAGGAAAACCACAGTCAATAAGAGAACCCATATGATACATGCTGCCAGGTCTCTGAGGTTGATGATCACACACTGCAGAATGTGATATCAGTACCAGCCACTAGGGGGCAGATTAACATTGACAGAGAGCAGAGGAAGTGGAGGGTGTGAACAGTTTTTCTCACACAAACTTCTAAATTAAGCTTAAAAGTCACTGCTGGCCAGCTGTAACAGAGTTTTCAAAGCTCTTCGCTACTTTACCACAATGTAAAGACGACACATTACATGATCTACTTATGTAAGAACGCAAACGCCGTCTGTTATGATGAAAATGTATTTTAAAGACCAAAAATAAAGCTTCTCACGAGGCCACAACCATACGTGCTTAGAATTTTGTATTTTATTTTTAGTCCATCGGTAGATCATTGTTTTTGATGCATTAACCTGTATGTAGAATTTCAGTGTTCAACGTAGAGCTCCCTTTGATGACTTTACAACATACTGCTGGGTACTTTTTTACACAAGGTGATATTTTATAAGCACTTATTTAAAAGTGAAATTTAAATCTGCAAAGTTAAAAAATATATTTTTTTCTTTTAGTATGCAGAGAAGTCTAAACCAGCATCAAACACAAATACTCAAGGAAGTAAGTACAAATATGACAGCGCTGCACATGTAAAGCCCTTCAGTTAATGTACTTACTTTGTAGCACTGCTAATAGTGTAATTATGTATACAAGTGCAAACAGAATGAGATTTAAATAATTTGGTGTAAGAATATGCAAAGAATCAAAGGAAATTTACAACTGAAGCCATGGAAACAGGAGCTTTGCAGCATGAGGATACTTCACCGTGAAAGAAAGGCAGAAAAAAAAAATGGATGAAAATGTGTCCTTGTGGTTTATGTGTGTTACCTGTGTAGTGCTGTACAAGCTGCTGCACAGTTTCAAACTGTGACCTGGTGGTGATGTAGTAGCCACCGTTGTCTAGTTTGCGAATCTTATAATGTTTGACGTGGTCTCCCTTGTTGTCGTCCCAGTCGCGGATGGACAGAGAGTAAGCGCCTGTAAAGAGAGATCGGGGGGAAGTAGGGGAACGAGGAGAGGAAAGCACAAAGTGGGTTGACGTGACAGATCGAGACAAAGCTTTTACATATTCAGAGCAGCTAGCCTCATTTAATACCACGAGTGCGTGTTTGAGTGTGTGGTCTCCTCACCCTTGGTGGTCTCGCTCTCTCGTATGAGGAAAGTTCCCCTCTGGTTGCCATGACCCAGCAGCTGTCTCTCCGCATCCTTCCTCCCCATCTTCCCAAAATACCACCTGTCACCATGACAACACCACATGGGTCACTGCAGCAACAGCACACCTCACTTGACCTCTGCCTTCAGACTAAATGTCAATCACTGAGACAATCTTACAGCGTAAACTATCAGTCCTTATACTCTGGCAAACACGGTGTCACTATGTGTGTGTGTGTGTTTGTGTGTGTGTGCACTCACTCCTCGGCTTGTATGGAGTCAACAGGGGCTACGTAGTTGGAGGGGATGTAACCTGTCTTGTCAGTGTGCAAAGAGCGAGCTTCCCACCAGTCGCCCTCTCTACAAAAACACACACAAAACACCCATATTTGTACTTGTACAGATGCACGACATCACATACATGTGGGGCAGCTGTGGTTAGTTGTGACAGATGGCACAGTCAGCCCACAGTTTGGTCTGTTACAATGGTGTTAAAAATGCTTCAAGTTTCTTACTTCTAATTTAGCCAGAATAATTTAAATGAAAAGTGCAGATGACATGATCTCTTAAGGGAAATATAGCAGCTTTTTTAGCAACCTGATTTTCATAAAACTTAGCGGCAGACGAAAAAGAAGCCAAGACTAGAAAGAAAACAAGGAGCTCATCTGCGAACTTTGTTGGCGTGAAAGCAACACCTCCAAACACCTCTGTTGGCTCTGATTGCAAACCCAAACATCAAAATATAAATTCATTTCAGATTTCTGGAAAAAAAAGACTAAATGTTTTTAAAGAACACAGGCTTGTCAACATTGCCAGCAGCGACTGAGACCTCTGACAGTTTGCAGTGTTAATGGGTGCCATTTAATTGCAGCCTGTGGAATTTAATGTATGCAAACAAAATTAATTACCTTTTGGAAGTCATAACTGATTTAATTTAACACATTTAACACATTTAACAGATCACATCAAAATTCATTTATCAGCTCCTGATGCTTATTGTCGTGAATTTGAATGACAAATATATTCTTATTGGTTACTTCAATCCAATTAGGGATGTTTTTTTCTATCAACATCCACAAACACGTGATTAAAAAACAGTGACTTCTGTGTGCATTTGGACTCACGTGTTGTTGATGATTTGGAACTTCTCTCCTTTCTGGAAAGTGAGGTCATCTTCAGTACGAGCGTCATAGTCATACAAAGCTATAAAGAAAGTGACTCCACCACCTGCATATGCAATAAAAAAAAATAATAACACACAACAAGAAGATTATCAGTTTCCAGTTATATGCACCGGGGTTGGTCTCAGATGTTTTAGTTGGGAGACGGACTCAAGTCCGACTTTGCAAGAAAACACAAACTGTATGACAGAAACAAAGTTCACTGAAGAAGTGCGAGAGAAGTTTAATTTGACCTGTTGTTAATTAATGAAAAACTGTACTTGTTAATTAGTATATTGACTTTTGCCTCCTTGTGTCTATTTGATGTTGCAATGTTGTAGAACATTTTTGCCTCACACACGTGTCCAAGCACACACACACACACACACACACACACACACACTCACATGTCCACACACACACACCCACTACCAACCTCCAGACCGCTGGTGTGTGCCGGGGTTGGGGAAGATGGTGCTGGCGGGGAAGCCAACGTTGAAGTCTGGGATGGTCTGAGTGGGGTCAGGACAGTAACGGCCCGCAGTCAAGCCTGTGGACAACCCTCCATCTGCGTTGCTAGGAGACAGATCTGTAACGTCTACTGCTGCTGATGTTGCTGCTACTGCTTTGGCAGACTTCTTCTGCTTGCAACAGGCACACCCCATAATAACCAGCACGGAGACGGCGTCTGCAAAAGAAAGCAGAGTTACAGTAACGTGCCACAACTTTTTTTTTTTTTACATTAAAAGTCCATTTTTCTTCTCTTTATTGCTGCTTGAGCCTATTCAATAGAAATTCTAGCTGTGCACAGGGTACTAAAGGCTTTTTGTACCCAATGTATGGTTCATGGAAACACTATGCATATTCACACACAGTGCTAATTAACATATGATAATACAGCTGTAGCCAGATGTGCGTTTACTGGTGTAGTCAACATTTACAGTATAACTTCTCCTGTGACATACATGGATGCGCATATATAAAGAGGAAATAAATGACAATATACTGAAGCACTGTTGTATCGTACATTTCCCAATATGCAATTTGATAATATCTTGAAATGTAACCTGTAAGCTTTCTGTAAAAAAAAATTAAGCCTCAAGTCCAGGCCGCTTATGACCAAAATTTTGACCAAATGTTTTTTTTTTATTTTTTTTTATTTTAAAACTTAGCAAAATATCTCTCAATATCACCACAGATGCAACATAAAATTCATGTGTTTACTCACAGTGGCAACTTTCCTATTTCATTAACTGCAGGATCACCACATATAGACAAAATACAAAACAACCACAGCGAGTAAGAATTATGTAAATTTTAGCGTTACTTAAAGTAATCCCCTGAAGCCTGTCAATGCAGCTCGAGACTTCAAACACAAGCAGGCTGAAAGTGAAAGCAACACAGGTTATCAACATCTAGTGAGTCAAAAAACTAAAGAGAACTGTGAAGAGAGAAGTAACTAACTTTAAATAAAAAATAAAAAAAACTTAACTTCCCTCGAGCAGGAGGAGGAGGAGGAGGAGGAGGAGGAAGAAGAAGAGGGGGTGGAGGAAGGGCGGGAAAGAGAAGTTAACTTTTTCTCACCTGATGTCTTCCTCTGTCAGATCATCTGTCAATCACCATCGCCACTGGAAAAAAGACGGAAGAAGTGAGTGACAAGGGCTGGAATGAGAGAGCAGGGCAAAGAGAGGATGAGTGGCAGAAAACCGGAGAGGGAAAAGGTGGTGGAGAATGTGAGAGAAAGGCTCAAGAGCGGTAAAGCGTGAATAAAGAGAAGCGTGAAGGCAGACGCGAGGAGACAGAGAAGTTAGAAAAAAAAACTGAGTCAGAGACAGCCTCAGATAAGGAAAGACAGAGAGAGATGTGAGGTTAGCCACTTCCCTTTTTGCTTTGCTGTTTCGAGAGGGTACTCAGTCACTCTCTCTGGTCAACAGCTGTGTGTGTGTGTGTGTGTGTGTGTGTGTGTGTGTGTGTGTGTGTGTGTGTGTGTGTGAGCATGCAAACTGTATGTGTGTGGGTGTTTGAGNTGTGTGTGTGTGTGTGTGTGTGTGTGTGTGCGTGCGAGCATGCAAACTGTATGTGTGTGGGTGTTTGAGCTTGTGGTGAAATAAGTTTGTAAATGTCATCATTAGTAAGGGGTAACTGACACAAAGTGACCATCGGTGGCAAACTGGAATGTGTTTCACAAAGATCATTGTGTTGTACTGCGCACACGGACGCAATCCGGACTTCCACTTTTAAGCAATCCACATTGTTTCAATAGAACGTATGTTGACAAAGCAAACGCTGCAGAGCACAACTAGAGGAAACAACAGACAGTAAAACATTTTCAATTGCGTGCAGAGACGCGTGTTCAGTCAAAAACATGAGCTTTCCTTATCTACAAGTTGTTTTTTTTATCTTCAGGAGAATCTAAATACGTACTCCTAAGAGTCTTGCTAGTCCTGTCCAAAGATAACGCAATGAAACAAAATCTAAAGCTCACAAATGAACACATATCTCATTTGTTTATCTGTGATCACCTTCAATATTACAGTTATAATACAACTATGTCACATTAAATCCTCCCTTTGTGAAGATAGCAATGATCTGTGCTGGTTGAAACTGTGCTGGACAGTTCAAGAGATTATTTTGGTGACAACGAAAACGGCAAAAAAAAAACTCTTGCAGCTTCTATTTCCCTTCTGGGATAAATAAAGTATTTTTCATTTGTGATGATTTGTGTCACGTGTTACAGCAGACAAAATTTTTTGCTTAAACAAAATCAGTAATGGGATGATGTCATGTTGGGCGTTAGATATGCGCGGGGGGAGTTTAGTTTTTATGTTTTTATGTGACATTTTTAGACATTTTTATGCAGAACGCAATTTGCAGATGAACCAGAAGTGAAACCAATATTCAGCTGCAGCTTGAGAATCAACTTAACACTCACGTTGGAGCATGGACTGTGTATAAACGATGGACGTAGCCATTTGGACATATCCCGTTGGTTGGTGGACTAGCGCTCTGAAGCCTCAAGTTTGGAATTTGGTCATAGACATCTTCGTCTTTTGAAATCGGACACGATGAGCGATAAATGGATCTGAACCCGAGCAACTTGTCAAGGTAGTCCCGCTCCAAAGAATAAATTGCTTTATTGTCTGTTTTCCTCTAAATGGGACCTTAATTTACAAAATGAACATCATGCTGTTTTGAAGGAGACTTCAAACTATTCACTGAGATCATAAACTCATGAGCAAAATGTTTACTGAGATAAAGAGTCAAGTGAGAAGTAGGGTCATTTTCTCAGACTTCTTTGCAATCTGGCTTATTTTTAGAACCAGAGGAGTCGCCCCCTGCTGACTGTTAGACAGAATACAGTTTAAACGACTTCCACGTTAGCTCTTCAGAACTGAAGGCTATGTCCATCTTTTACATGCAGTGTATGTGTTAGAGGTTGTAGTTTTAAATGTGTAGTTTGACCTCCTTGATTTCAAAGAGGTGGACAAAATATTAGAAACACTCGGTAATATAAGTCAACACAGCGAAACAGGACTACAAACACCAAAATAACCATAAAATGTCTACATGAGCTAGAACATTTGTAATGGTTGGATATACTGAGGGGCTGTTCAGTTAGGTGAATCTGATAAACTCAGAATTGGGTAGTCGTGGGATTCAAACTGACAACCTTTAAAACTGACCAAACTCCTGGACACAGCCGCTCCACCTACTGAGGAATGTGGGGGAAGTCACACAGAGGAAGAACAATACAAGTTATGGCAGCGAAGGACAAAAAAAAAAAAAAGTTTTATTATGAAAAAACAGCAGAGCTTCCAGTTAACAGCTTCAGGTCTGTTCAAGCTGCACAAATTCCTAGAAATTCCTCACACTCTTTAAAGCAACAAAAGCTATTATGGGCTACATCCAGAACAGTCTGTTGATCACTCAGAGCAAAATACGCAAAACCTTTACATGTGCGGAATCACACACACACACACACACACACGTTCACTATCAGGCCGGCCATCATGAGAGCTGCAGGAAGTTAGCCCTGTTAGAGTTTCCTGTCCACCCCTCTGATGGCTCCCCCCTTTTCCTGGAAACTGAGGACAGAGTCCATCCACACACACACACACACACAAATGGACACAGTCGAAGCAGCTGCAGTGCCACAAACTCCCCCGACACATTTCCCTCTCTGTTGTAGCCGTTCTCCACTCGGTGCCCACATCCCTCCAACAACAACCTTTCATATTCTCTCTATCCACCCATCAGCTGCTGACTTCTTTCTCATTCTGATAAACCACATAAAGGAGAAGTGACAGAGGGCGTGAAAGACGCCTCTTCCCTTTCATCCTTATCTCTCTTCTGCCCTTTGGCTGATCTGGGGTTTTTTTTCTGCTTTTCTAGGATTGGCAGATGACCACAGACAAGACTGATACAATAACAGATATGTATTCACACACACACACAGAAACACTGGGGAGTGTTTGCAGGGCAGCCATACAAGTCATTGTTCTCAATTGGGTTCCTGTTGACCAGATATTCTCGCTCTCGTCTGTCTTCCTGTCCGCACACAGAAGCTGTGATAACTCAAATAACAACCAATAATTCAGCTGACCTGAAAGTGTTCGTACATTAAGACAACACCTTCACGAAAACAAAAACACACTACAGCGCAAAGCAAAGCCCGCAGAAATGTCTAAAGAATGACACTCTGCACCTACATGCTGGTACTGAATGTGTCAAGGTGCAGTCTTAAGCACAAACCCACATGTGTGTATCTCCTCACCCTTGCCTGTGCTTTGTAATATCATCTTGGGTTTATGTTTCAATCTTACGCAAACTTTGGAGATACTAGTATAAAGTGTGAGTGTGTGGGCGTGTGGGGAGATAGGTGATGAGTGGTAAAGTGAGGGGCTGCACAGTCAAACTGGCACCCTGCATACTTGTTGCTGCTTTTCTGTTTGAGGAAAAAGAATCAGAGTAAGCACCGAACACCAGCACAAGTAAAGTGCAGTCTGAGTTCCTCTTTGCCTCTTGAAACCAAACAGTGAAAATGAGGTACGGTGAAAGAAATCACTCCTGGGTTTGATGGTGGAAGTTTAAAAGTATTCTTAGGACAGAGATTTAAACATAAAAAAATAAACATATTAAACGTCTCTTCAGTCCTACACACACACACACTGCCTTTCACCTTATCTTAAATACGTTGACCTGCTGCTATATGATGCAACAACGAAATGGAAGACACATTATTTCTTCATTAACTGCCATGTAAGCTCTTGCAAAAAAAAAAAAATACCAAGAATACAATCGCTTTTCAATCATACGACTTCCACTGAATTCTCTTGTTGCTATGTCGAAACTAAACTTCATGTCACTGACTGGCTGCTGAATGTCACAGCAGATTTTTATAGCAACAAGCAAACACACAGAAGAAATAATTATAATACTCTGTGAAACAGAAGCTGCTTCCTCTGGTGGCGAGCTGTGCGGTGTCGGTATGTGATAAGTCTGTCTGCAACAACAGGCCCTTTTACTTTGCAGACTAATGGGCTATTTTCTTAGATATGAAAGATTTCACCCGTTTGACATTTGATATTTTTCATGGGATGTTTCGTCTGAATACCAATATGTACGCTTCATCATTTGAAGACATACGGTCATATAATTCACGGATTTCACTTGCTGCCAAAGAAACTGTCCCCAAAAAAACTGTCGATCTCTGGAGAAAAGTGTCCCTGCTGAATTTTTTTTAACATTATCTCCTAATAATTTAATTTTAATTAATCTTTATTGGACTGGGTTGGAGGTATAAATCTTGGATATCTCCAAACAGCATAGCCGCATTTGTTTTTTTTGTTTTTTTTTATTTAGTGAACGGCCCTTTAAGTAAAACCAATAACAGAAGTACTTACACTGAACTGTCACTTCCCTCCAAGTCGTGTATTCAACATTTAATGAAGTGAAAGTAATTAGTATTATCAATGAAACACACATAAAGTTTCCTAAGTGAAAAAAACCTTCAGGAAGGATTCAGACCCTTCCACGACTTGCACACTTTACTCTTAAATGGATGAAATTGGAAGTTTCCTCCATACATTTACATTCATATATCTCATAATGACAAAGTGAAAACATGTTTGTACAAGTTCCTGGCCAAAAAAAAAATCTAAATGAAAAAATTGAAACTCAACAAAAATACTTACGCCCACCAACTGTAGTTATGAGTCTTCTTCATTAAGTCTCTACAAGCTTCGTACACGTTCATTTGGGCAGTTTATCCCATTAACCTCGTGTTAAGCTCCAATAGACTGGATGTGAAGCATCCGTGACCTGAGATCTTCAGCTCCCTCTCCACAGATAATGTGGAGAGAAGTGTGGAGGTTTGGATGGGCCACTCGATGATACTCAGAGATTTGTTCCAAAGCCACCCCAGTGAAGTCTTGGCTGTATGCCTCAGATCATTGTTGTGGTGAAAGGTGTGGCAGAGTCTCAGGTTGTTTCTTCAATGACTCCTTGTATTTGGCTGCATTCATCCTTCCCTCCCTTCTGACCAGTCTCACTGAGAAGCACTTCCATATTATCACCATCGAGATGAGTGGTGCCTGTTGTTTACCAGATATAATACTTTGAGTTTTGTCTCATCAGACTAAAGAATCTGGTTTGTCTACTTGATTGATGGACAAAAATGTCAATTTTATCCACTTAAGTAAATTGCACAATAAAGTGTGCAAAAAAGGAAGGTGTCAGAATACTTTCTGAACGTGCTTTATGCAGATGGGCACAGTGACTCCTAAAGATCTCTGGAGAGATCTAGAAGACCACAGCAAGAAGGTCGCGGGTTTGCATCCCGGTGAGGACACCCGGGATCTTTCTTTGTGGCGTTTGCATGTTCTCCCCGTGCAGCGTGGGTTCTCTGGCTTCCTCCCACACAGTCCAAAAACATGTTGAGGTTAAATGGTGAATCTAAATTGTCCATAGGTGTGAATGTGAGTGTGCTTGGTTGTCTGTCTCTAAGTATAGTCCTGTGATAGACTGGTGACCTGTCCAGGGTGTCCTCTGCCTTCACCTTAAGTCAGCTGGGATAGACTCCAGCCCCCTGCGACCCTAGTGAGGATAAGGTGGTGCATAGATGATGCATGGATGCAAAAATCTCTAGTCAGTGAAATATTTGTGTATTAACTGATTCTATTATGGATGGATTAACATGAAGCCAAGCAGTACTTTAATGATATGGTTGATTGAGTTGGAGCTGTATTTCACTTCTTCATATCGGGTTTGGTAGCTTCATCTTTACCATTTTATCATATTTCATAAACTGATCATACATTTTTGTTTTTAAAATCTTACTCTGAAAAGCAATGATTTAATATAGTAGCGGAGGTTAGATATAACATGGAAATGCTCGGTACAAACACTTGACTTTCCACAGCTTTGTCCACTCTGAACAATATAAGGAAGCATATAAATTCTGACCCAAAAGCCAGTTGCACGCATTCAGTGCATTCTTACAAAATCACAATAACATCACCCTCCATCACCGTCGTCACACTCACAAACATCCAAATCCAAATGACACACCCTTTCCTGCACAGTGGACCGCAGATAAGCTGCTCCCAGCGGGAAAACTCGCTGCAGCAACACACACACACACACGGCTATACACATCTGTAGTGTTTCAGGAATTTACACTGGTTTTGTGCTGAGCTCGAACTTTCTCCACTCGTACTCCTGATCATCAGGGTTTTTTCTTACCTTTTCTGTCTCACTTCTCTGTTTCTCCCTGACGCTCTCCCTCACCAGCAGGAAACTCCACAGGATGCAGAGTGTGAGTGGGGCAGGAATGATAGGACAATGGGAAGCAAGCTGTCACCGAACCCTCAGAGCGCACACTCATAGAGCAAGTACGCAGTCTAACAGAAAGGCTGAAAGGGAGCAGTGGAAAAGCAAGGTGCCTCGGTCATCGGGATGTCCTGTTTCCACATGATGTCATCACATCCTCTAGATAGAGAGCACCGAGCCGACTGGTTGGAGGCCGTACATGAGCGTTTACTCGCAGTAGTTAGTAACAGAGGTTAAATAGTTGCACTGGGGTTCAAGGCCTATTTCTGTGGGACCGACAAGAAGAAGAAGCGACTCCTTAAAGTCATGTCGTGGCTGTAAACATGCAGAAACCCTTGTTGACACACCTTGGATGAGCGTTCACCTGCCTCAACCCTCAGCTGCTTCTTGGGAAAGCTGAGTGATGATGTCCATTTCTAACCCTAAAAAACATGCCCACGCCCCCTTCCTTCCTGCCTAGCCCTGAGGCAAAAGACAGGAACTGATGGAGTCCGGCCTTGGGCGGCCTAATCACACTTTTCCCATCCAACCTTCAAAACTCCAGGACAACTCCTTCATGGCCATTCAGTAAACTTTTCAGTGTCGTGAATCAAATATTTATTTTGATTACGGAAATTAAAGGTGCGATTATGTAACCTGCCAACAGCCATCACAAAGAAGGAATAAACACCAATCAGGGCATGTTTAAGCCACAAAAACGCCTCAGATGGATGGACGTTGAGGAAACAGGCCGCTCGGCCTTTTCCTCAAGGTGGTTTCCTGTAGCTGTTCCAAATAAATCACAGTCACATTTAATGAAGGAATATTTAACACAGTCTCAGAGGCATGAGGCCTTGAGCCTAGATAACAATTTGAGAATTTATCTTTCACAAATATAAGATAAGATGTACTTTATTGTCCCCAAAGGGAAATTTGCTTTGGTTAGTAGTGAAAAATTCACAGTTCTGTACAACTAAAAACAGCATGATAGTAAAACAAATAATACACAGCTAGGCACAGATACACACACACGACCATGTATCAAAACATTCCTGTCTAAACTTCCACACACATATATACGAACCAGTGTAGATACTGCACTTGTAAGCGCACTGTAATAGACCTTAAACAGATCATTATCGGAAGTAAAACCAAAACCAGGGATCCAGAAATCAACCTCCTGGATTAATTGCATCAGCCGGATACATCAAGAGTTCAGAATAAGCTGATGCTTGTTGAACAGTGTGACAGAAACATCCATTTAATTCAAGACTATCCAGACACCATAAGTAATGTTTTTACCCTTTGACCTGTTCTGATTAAAAGCTAAGTTTTCCATTACTACAGCCTTACAACTGATAAGCCTTAAATCTTTGCTGGGAAAAGATCCCATTTCAAAGGAGTTGTGACTAACTTATCTGGTGAATTCCACTCTTTCAATATTGCAGTATTGGCTGTTCTAAATATCATCATCCTCTGTGGAATTTCTCCAACACGAAGAGTGGAAGTAGTGGTACAGGAACACTTGAACAAGTTCTCACAGGCAACTAGCCAGACTTCCTTTTATTTAACAGAAACTCCGAAGTTACCCAATTTTCACTCAAACCAAAATCAGCACAGACCGGGGTAATTAAACAGACGCAAGTAAACATCCTGGTACTGATACATTATCTAAGTTTGTCTGTACCTACCACGGTTAAATGCCTACACACATACCGAGAAAACAGTAAAAAGTCTGGAGGTAATCTGTATTTAACAGCCTAGCATTTTAAAAAGTACCTTTGACTACAATTTTTACTCGATATTCCGGCAGTTTGCTGGGGAAACGGGCAGTTCTCGAAAAACAGAAAGTATTTTAAACGACTACACCGTGAGGCGGAGGAGTTACAGCAGGTTTTCGGTCATAAAAACGCTGAACGGAGACGTACCTGACACAGAAGTTCACCGGGAGTTCTCGGAGGTGAGCGGCTGCGCTGTCCGGCGGCTCGAGGGGCGCACGGAGAAAAGGCGCGCGCTGCTCAAAAAAGTGAGAGAAGCGAGCGCGCGCGAGTCGTCCGGAAGACTTGCACGCGCGCAGTAAGGTCCAACCCAGAGGAAGGCGCGCGGACATGAAAACAATCTAATTTAACAAGACTTTTTTTCTTTTTTTTTATCTCTTAGAAATAACGAGTGTAATTGTTAGCCCCCCAAAACGGGGACTGTTTTGTCAGAGACTAGATATTGTCTTATAATCTCAAGCCAACAAGAAATATGTTTATTTTTTCGCGCGGATAAAGTAATAGGAGCCCACATACTACCGATTTTGGATGTTTTTTGTTTTTTCCAAGTACGCAAAAAAAAAAAAAGCAAGTGGTAATGTGGATCTGTGCGATGTGTAACCCGCACACAGCCTGAAATCCGACTGTAGTGCCGTCTGTGCTTTCAGTGTCTGGATGGTGTGCAGTTGCAGGGTTGGATGCGACACATTCACTCAACAACAGGAAGACTGAATGAGATGTGTGATATCCGCGTGCAAGCAAATACAACTGTGGCGAAATCAAGAAATCAGCAACAGGGAGTGAAACTGTCCTGGCGTGTAGGTGATCTGAGGTGTATTTCAGCTGTAACTCTGGAAAACAACACCAGTGTACTGCTACGCTATCGCTGTACAGCGAGTCCACATGATGAACCGGTGGCTGATCAAATGTTAAAGTCTGTGTCGCCATCTTGTGGTTTATTAATGTAACTTTTGCTTCTGACTTCTCGCTAGACCAGTGCTCCGGTTTTTCCTGCCAGTAAAACAACACTGCCTTAAAAACAACCCAATATGTAGAATAGATTCAAACAAACCCACACTACTTGGTTCAATTTTGATAAAGTAACTTTATTGTGTATAAAAAAATACAGGATATTTTGTCTTGCTTTATCTATGTGCCCTGCAGACAAGAGGACCAAGGCATGAGCAGTAATGATGTGGTTGATTTGTGAAATGCGCAACAAAAATTCGGCAAAGGAAACACTTGGATCATGATGACGATGATGATGTCAGACCTAATACCGTGGGCATGCCGATATGTCCGTGCGACAGGAACATGTGCAAGATATTCAGTACAACACTGGAGGCTCAAATGGGGACATGAAATCTGATACACATCAGTGCAAAACAGGTAATAAATGTTAAATAGAATCACAAAGCAGCATGAAAATAAAGAACACTGACACATATGATATGCAAACATTCGCAGTAGTGTGTGCAAGATTGTCTAGACTGTGGTACGTCACAGCTGGCTCAGCATCTGCAAAAATGTGATTGAGCGTGTCATCTCATGTAGTGTGTAATGGCTCGTAAGGTATAAAGAAGGGCTGCCTGTAGCCGGGCTTCCATCACTATTAGATTTGCATGAACCTGCACAGAAAAAAAAAAAAAAATAAGAATCATGTCATTACCTTCAGGTAACTAGGTGACACACTTTCAAGTCCTGTCTGTGACGCTTCCCTCTCTGATGACATTTAAAAAGGTAGGAAAAGAAAGGACACGCCGAAATGCCAAATTATTCATTCTTTGTTGAGAAGGTACCAAAGAGAGACGACGTGTTAAAATGTCAAATGATTTGTGACTGAAGAGGCCGGGTCAAGTGCATGTTTTAACTCGTTCATACCTTTTCCGAGTGTCTGAAGTGTCTCCAGCAGGCGTGGTAAACGCGTGCCGTGGTCTGCTCGGGGTGACAGGCCAGGGTTTTAACAAACACCTTCAGAGAGCGCTCCAACAACACATTCACGCTGCCGTAGTCATAATCATCATAGCTGCATATGCAGAGTGACAACAAAAGGTCAATGGCAGAGCAGAGGGAGTGTAAATGTAGCTGCACACATGATAGAGGAGTGTTATACTGACCGTATCCCGTAGAGGCAGTGGATGTAGTTCCACAGAGCTTTTCTCAGTGTGTAAGTATCCACACCTTCATGCATGGCCATCCTGTGGTAGGTCAAGTAGCTCACAACCTGCAAAGTCACATTGTGAATTGCTCAATTCGTCTGTTTTGTATTTGCAAATTAACTTAGGCCGTACCATTAGATCACAATGCCAAGGAATGATTACATACTCGACAAAAGTTTCTCATTACGTACTGCTCACTTTGTTGGGCTGTGTGTTCGACCCGCCCTAGAACCTGTATGGTTTGGGATCCACATTATGCGTGTGGAGTCAGGTCTGGATCGGGTTCCCTTTCGTTATTATGGCTCTCCGTAACATTACATGTATTACCCGAGTGGCTCTAAGAACACTCGCCGTGATCAAACAGCACTGATTATAATGAAAGTGCTGAGTGTGTAACGGAGAGCAGAGGTCACACTCTCATCTCTCGCACAACACAGAAAAGATCTCGAAGAACACAGATGATAGAATAGCAGCAATACAGTGAACGAGCAATCATTATTATTAGTTCAAAAGGGTAAACCGTCAGAGTTATCTTTATTATGCTCGATGAAACAAAACTGCAAAGCTGATTCTAAACCAGTTGCTTTTGTCATCTGTCACCGTGACAGCAAGCGGACTTTTAAGCTGAAATAACAAGTGGATTAGTCATGCTCTTTCAATCAGCAAGAGAGGAATAACAGAAAACCTGGAAGTGTTTTACCAACTTTCTTGGCAGGGACGATGGATTATACGCGGCCAGGCACAAGGGAGAAGGCTGGAGAAAGGTACTGTTTTGTTTTTACAACTTGTAAATTAATGTTAAATTGTTAATAGCAATCAGTTGTGAAATTGGTGTCTGTGCCTCTCGGCTCAGTTCAGGTCCGGCATTTCTCAGCTCTGCATGTATCCAAGCTTTCAAATAATAAACAAGTTTGGTTCAGTTCCAGGTTGCACATTTCTGGGTCTTTTTGGATTTGGGCACAAATTTTCAGGCCAGTAAAAGACTTCTGCTTGTGACCGCTCAATGCAATTCAATGTTATCTTGGGATCTTTTGTTGCAGCGAGACTAGTTTTTCCCTTCTGAGATCATGTAATTCCAAGGATTTTTGAAAATGTAAAACTGTCCAGAATTTCACACGAAAACAAAGATAAGATCAAAGCCTGCATGAGGAACCACTGCTCTACAAAACCCAAGTAGTTGCCACCCACTTGTTTTCCTGCCGCTGAACAGTTTTACTGCAACTGTGTAAACAAAGGTGTAGGTCCACGAGATCTCCCCCCCTCTTTTAAATCTCAGTTTCATCAAGATTACATTGTGTTTTACTCAAAATTCCCGATGCAGAAAGACCTGTTATGTTATCCACATATCAGTCGTGCACAGTTTTTAATCAACTCACTGGTGTTTACTTCTATTTGGTGAAATGTGACAGTACCTGGAATTTCTCATCCAGGAGCTGGCCCATGTCTGGCAGCAGTCTGTTTACCAGAGAGAAGCCATGATCCTCCCATGAATAGTCCTGCACACAACACACCAACATGAACACATCTTTGAAACAAAGCACAATGAACAGGCATTGGACACTGTAAAAATGTAGGAATAAAGAAAGTACATAGTCTAAGATGGAATACAAAAAGTGCTGCAAACTACCTGTGCTCTCATAGTGGGTGGTGCCTGCTCTCCTCTGGGGGCAAAGTCCTCATATCTGAACTCTGGTTCCTCCACCAGACACAGCACCAGGTCAGGCGGAGCTCCCCGCACCACCGCTAAACAAAAACAACAAACACAAAGTAGTGAGTCAACAAATGTTGTCCAACAGAGTGACGCAGGGGTAAACAGGCATACTCGTACCTGTTGGTATGCTCTCGCTCCTCTCCCTTTCAAACCGAGTAACCATCTCCTCCTGTGTGCACTCTTCCTCCTGCTGCTGCAGCTCCACCATCCTCTTCATCAACACCTCCACCTCCATCGCTCCGTCAACCAGCTGCAGAAGATGATCACAAAAACAAAGGGCTTACAATGCTTCACTGTTTAGCTTGAAATGAACAAGGTGAAGTGAACCGTGCTGCTACTAAACCGGTATGTCCAGTGAAACAATGCTGGAATTAATGAAATGCCTCCATAATCCTGTGCTGTTGACATTGTAGATCTGACAGACCTGTGATCAAAATGAAAGTTTGGCTCACCTCTTGCCTGCCATCCTCATGAGCAGGGCTATGAGGGCTACGAGGAAGGTGACTGGGTGAAGGAGGCTCGAAGGTGTAACCTCCAATGTGGTCAGGTTCAGGGTTCAAACCGCAGCCCCATACGAAGGAGGAGAGTGAGTGAGCGTGTGCCATCAGGACAACAGCATGTATTAGTTCAGCCAGTGACCAGGGAGGGTCTGCTCCAGGACACACCAGCTCCTGTAGAGCAGACAGGCAGATGTTGGTAAGTACAGCTTCAGGAAAGGTTTGTTGGATTGCTATATTGGTCATTTGGTTGGGTTTGATCCAGGATGAAATGTCTTAATACTTATCGGAGGGACTGCTGGTGTATGTTGCAGATATTTGTCTCCCTCTGGATGACCTGTAATGATTTCGGTGCCCCACTGACTGTTTACCTAGACCTGTCAAAATGTTCATGTGTCCAATACTTTGTTTTTCCGACCAAATACAAACAAGAAAGCAGTGAACCACCACTCCTGTCAGTAAACCCGTCCTGCGGCTCTTTTGCAGTCATACAGGGGTTTTGCTTTGCCTGTCTGCCCAGCAGACGTGCAGTTTTACAGAAAGGTTTTCTTGTTTTCCAAAATTTGTCTTGACTTCCACAGTTCCCCTTAACTGCCACCTCTTAAGGGCATTTCAAACAGCGGAAATTGCAATCTGCAAGCACTTTGATACCTTGTTAGAGCCACCTCCTGGTTAATAACCATCAATTAGCTCCATTTAAAATCCTCAGATACTTTGAGGAGCTCGTGGTTGTTAACTGTTATCACAAGATTTGTCCTTAGCTGACAATTCCTAATGACTATTCCTGCCCTGCGTTAGAAACTCAAGGAGTCAATTAAAGCCTAATGAGTTAATGACTTTACAAGAAGGTGGGTGCCAAACTTTGGCACATGCCACAATCACTGTTATTTGTTATTTTCTAAGTTCAGATAAAAGCATCAGTGCTTTAAGGTTTGAGGAAAGGTTAATTTTAATGTGCAGCTGCTGCAAGGTTTGTTTATACTGCTTTTCCCTAAAAGAATTAACAATATATGTAATTTGCTAAATAGTGTCCAAACTTTTGAGTACATCTTTATCTCCTACCTGTATTGTGGGAGTAAACAATTATTTTTCTCCAAAGACACCAAGTTCTTTTGTTAATTTTGCTTCCACATGAAATTATAGGGACTGATTTCTTTGTATAGCAACAGTCAGATTCTTTAAAGCAGTTTAGCTATTGCAGTGTCTGAAATCACTTCCTATGGAGTAAATCATGGACTACATTTACTGTTAACCATTTATCTAAATGCAGGTATTATGAGTAACATTTATACTCCATACAGTGTCCTAGAAATTTCCCAAAATGGCATATAAAAGCAAGTGTCCACAGAATGCACTCTGCTTCCCACCCACAGTCCTTTGAATCACATTTAACAGGGAAAAACTGCACTTGTGCATGATGTTAAGTGTCTGGAATACTAATTCACTGCTCATTATAGGCTAAATTACTAATTGTCTACCACACAGGGAATAGTGAGTGAGTCAGTGAGGGAGTGATGTTGGATGCAAGTCAGAAATGTAATGTATTAAATTATATTACGATTATATGACAGCGTATGAGCAAAACAGAGGAGTTGGAGTGAGACACAGGGGAGTGAGTAGGCGAGTGGGCGATGCGTCTGACCTGGATGTGCTGCTGGGTAATGAGCCAGGGTCTGTGTGCCAGCAGCTTGTTGAGTGTTTGCAGGCTGCGCAGTTTGGTGGGAGCGCGCTCGAGGCCGCTGAGCCAGCTCTCCTCCCCTCCGGCCTCCAGGAAACCAGCGCTGTGCTGCTGCACCAGGTACGAACAATGGTGTCGAGCTGCAGCCTGTCAAATATCAGGAAGGGTTCAAGTTACTGCGAGGACACAAATATGCTGCCACTTCTATTAAAAACAAAGCTTTATTAATGATCAGTCAAAACTGCATAATGCATAAGAACTGTCCAATTACATAAATATCAAGCGCTCAGAGGTTAAAGCAACAAACTGAACTTGTACAGGTAGATCACTGTGAGTCTAAGACATGGCACTTCTGAAGTGACAGGGGAGCTAATGTGATGCATATATGAGTGATGAGTCATTAAATGTTTATGTAGAAAGCTACTAACAGCCTTTGGCAGACCTGATAGTGACTTGCTATGATACAGTAGTTGGATGTCCCTCAGGGAAAAAAATGACACATCAAATTTCATGACTTTTCTACAACTGACGTCTGTCAATGTCCTTTTTTTAAATGTGTACTTTTGCTCTTAAATGTACTTACAGACACTGAGTGGGATGTCTGACGATGTTTTTCAACAGTAGTAGTCCCTCAAATACTTTTCAGAAAGTCATTACATCTAGTAGCAGGTAAACTTTACAAGAAATGTTTTTGGTTTTTTTTTAATTTGGATAATTTTATATACCTTTCCAATGTATTTGGAGTACACTGTTCAATACTCTGATATACAGCATAAGGTCATGTATTAAATCTTTGACCAGCAAGTCAGCTGTCAGTCATAGGACTTTTGTTTAATAGATACTAAAACACTGACGAGGCAATGACCCCGGACACAACTCCAAGGCAAAGCATCATAATAATACAAATGACGTAATGTAGATCATAGAATAAATATCTAATAATCCAATAAACTTCTTGCATCTCATCATAGTCCACAAGTTTTCCATTCTGTGTGTGCACTGCAAAAAAAAAAAAAAAAAAGCCATGGTGTTCATACACAGCCACCAACTATGTGAATGGAAAACAAACAAAAAACACTATTCCAACATGTCTGGTACATGTTCATGCTTGTGCACGATCATGCTCTAAATAGCAACAATCTTTCTCCACCTCTACATTAACAAGTAGTTTGATTATAGTTTGATTACTGATGATAAGGCTTTACTGTCAGCGCTTGCAACAGTAACAACACATCTAAATCGCACAATGAAAGGTTGTGTTGTAAAAACATCAAAAGCTTATTGCTGACGGTTCACTCAGAGGGCCACTTTCGATAAATCAAACACTGTGGTGCTGTTCTGTCCTAAAACCAATGGAGGCAGGGATTACCTCAATAAAGCCACAATTATTAAATATGTGAACACAAAGAAACAACACCTAAAGACACGTTGGCACCCTTGACTCAAACACAAAAAGAAAACACAACAGCTGCAGAGTTATTTTGAACGTTCAGGCTGTTACTTATGTAATATCAAGTCTAGGCTGGGGAAGGGTAATGTCACTGTACCTGCAGCCCTTCACAAACCAGTTCAAAGCTTTTGAGCATTTATAGCTGTTGTTAATGCTGCTTCGTTTACCACAGAAAGAAGACAAGGCAGAAATAAACACAATATACAACCAACGCTCGCTACCACTTAGGCACCTTACAAACAGGCTACACTATGATCAAAAAGTAAGAACTTTTCTAATTATAATTTAACCTGAAGTGTCACAGCTTGCACCAGTAAGCTCTGCAAAAAACAGCGGGGGGAAAAAATCTAAACAACAATCACCATTTCTGTTTATAGTGCCAGGTTATGCACTATTATGCAAGTCATTTCTATTCATCTACGCCATTAATGTTAATTGTGTGCGTGTAGTTTCACTGTATTCAGTCTACAATGCTAATGATACACTTTTAAAGGTTAGCATGAATGGCATGTATTACATGAGCAGGCTAAATAAACCAAGAGACACATAGTTTACTTGTCATTGTAATACACTAACCAGTGCGACAATATTTGGTATCTGCCTCACATAAGGTTCTGCATATTGTGTTGCTTATTAACACAGCTTAGTCAATCAATAAAAAAAAATTGGGGGACAGCTTATCCAGCTATAGTTAGTGATTAAACGACTACGATCAGCTTCATATCTTTAATAAAAACTGTATTTGTTAGATAATTTCTTCATTTACTTTTATTACTGTTTTACACTGTGCTACAGTTGACTTTTGTTGTTTACGTCACAATTACAGTGACAACAAAGAAAGTAAGTGGTTATGCAATGCAAAGAACTCAAGCTGATGCGAGTCACAACAGACACGAGGGTTCATCGTCCTTGCAGATCCAAAATAGTCTTTTGGAAACTGCTGACGCCATTTTATATTCAGCTGATTGCAAAAAAATAAAATCAGTTGCATTATAAGCAGAACTTTAAGAAGAACTTTATTCTCTTAGTAAATGTAGGTAAAGTTGTACATTTAGGAGAGCACACAAGTGCCGTAGTGAGCTTTATGAGGGTTGATCTGGCAGATAGAACTGCTTAGAAATCACATATTTTGTTTTCTTACCATGAGAGCAATGTAATGTCTCCAGTGACGAGGCAAGGGGCCGTCCAGCTCCAACAAAGCATGCTGGGTCCTCAAGAAGCAGCTGAGATAGGACGGGTGCAGCGCCATCACCATGGTGATATGGTCCACACGACCCAGTGATAGAAACGATTCAATGAGGACCTTCTGGTTCGGCCCTTCTTTCAACATCTAAACAAGAAGAGTAGGACAAAAGCACATGTTCAAAACTGATGACGATTCCCTGCCAATTAAACTCAAAGTTTCTTATTTTCTTATGGACACTTGTGGGCCCGAATTTATGTAAATATAAGAATCCACTTCTTAAAGTTGTAAATGTGCAGCCTTGTGGAGGCAGAAAATATCCACAGCTGATATAACACTTTCTCCAATGGAAAACTTGGAATGAGTCACATATGATATTGGCATCAGTCATCAGCTTTGGCAACACAGCTCTGGTGTTGCATGTCTTGAATGCTGAAGCAAGAGGCGCTGAGGTATTGCAGCAGAATAGTTAGCCGCACTACTTCTGCTATAGCTCTTTAGATCTTCGATAGGTTAGTTTATGAGATTCAATTCAATAAAAACTCTGAGAGAAAAAAGGGATGATGTCAATGTGTCAACAAAGACAGCAGACTGAGCCACTGTGGGGAAAAAGGAAACATTCGGAATACCTTTACTGTATTATGCAAATATTAACATCTCTCACAATTACATTTAATCAAATTACATTTCGAAGAATGGAAAACAAAAGGTAACAGCTGGCACAAATACGTAATCAGCGATTTGTCGGTTTATCATGACGGTAGTCTGCAACCAACCATGTAAAATCTTGGGATTAGACATGGAGGCCAGCTGTGAGCCACCCTGATACCAACATGTGAGACTACTTTTCTAATGTGTGGAGAATTTCTCATCAGTAAACATTTCTAGGCAAAGGAAGCCTGTTGATCAACATGCCTGGGCTTGAGCACACAAGCAAAAATAAAAATCAACTTGGTTTGACACCAACACAGCATTTACTATTTAATTCTGAGATCAAACATATTAAGAAATATTTTCCATAATGCATGATCGATAAAATCAGCAAATGAATATAGTTTTTATTAGGTTCCATACACACCTCTTTTGCAGGGATAAAGGCACTTGGACCTGAGGCCAGGGCCCGAGGAACGTCGACTCCTTGATCCTGGTGGAAATGAAGACAGACAGTTAAATGAAAGCATACTGTAAAAAAAACAATTAATTTAATAAATAGTAAATCGGACCCTTATATACTTGACTTATTATGAGAAATTGTTATCAGAATTTACCCAACCTTAAAGCCCTGGATAATGTCAACAGATTGCTTTTTCTGTCTCACCAACAGCTTTGAAACCAAACATGCAGCATTCATTGTTACGCAAGACGAAGAAAATCAGCAAACTTTCATAACTGCGAAGCAGCAACTAGGATGAGTTTTGGCATTTTACACTGAAATATGACAACAGAATCCTTTGATTATTCTTCCACTATCAACTAAACTTGTCAGCTTCCCACTGAAATGACTCAAATCTGGATTAATAGACTACTTGACAAATGTGTCCAGCAAACAATCTCAACTAAACGGCCAACAATAAATCTCTATGACCATAGGTAGCACTTATGTAATATCTGCTGGGGGATAATTTAAGCTAAATTGACAGTCTGCAGACAGCTGAAACACCCTTGAACTTCATTGGACCGACTTTGACTGTAGCAGCTGTGCTGTAACTGGAGAGACGCGTTTCATAACTTGGAGCCGATAAAATGAGCATCAATCAAACCGTGCGTTAAACTCACCGACATGATCGGAAGAAAGGCAGCTGAATGCTACAAATAACCGCTTGTTGTGTCCGACAAAAGGCAAACGAAGTGAACGTGCGTCAAACCAGTGAGACTCTGTGCGCTACAGCGGGCCGAGGGAGGACTCGGGGGTGTGTCCGGTGTTTCTCAGAGCACCGGGAGGGGGCGTGTCCGCTCTGCTTGTTTGTGCACACAGAGCCACGGTCTTGCATCACCTTCACTTCACCGTCTGATGAAATATCCAGCAATGCGTTGATGATGAAAATGATCATCGGCTGATAATTGTGCGTGATCAGCTTCAACGTTACCATGACTACTGATCAATAACCCTAATATTTTCTTGTATTTATAAACGAAAAGTGAAAGCAGTTGTCCTGAAAATAAAGCAAACTGCGTATGTGCACGCATTTCTTGTAGGAAAATGTGCAACACTGCAGTTGAATTAGATTTTCAGCTCCCTTTGTGTTATTTAAAGTCTGCACACATTATGGATCAGGAACATCCCAACATTACCTGTGCGGTCCGCAGCAGCTCGGTCGCTCTCCCCCGGACCTCCTGCAGTGGACAGGACCTGGACAGCCGAAGCAGGTGCAGGAGGGTCTGTTTACTCAGCCGTGCCGAACCTTGCCGTGCCGAACCTAGACACAGCAGAACCTCCTGGCTCAGCTCCTCCAGAGCCGCTGCCCGCTCATCCTCGTCCCTGCTGCACAGCTGCGCTAAGCTTTTCGCCGTCGGGCCACCGTCTGATTCGGACTCGGACTGGTAGCGACATGACCGACCAGAACCGGACACTCGTCTCGGTGTGTTTTCTCCGTTAGGTTGGCATTTAAAGTCTGACACGGGTTTACTGGCCATGTCTGTGTCTCGACGTACCTGGGTTGAGTTACCTGTCACTAATGAGCTACTGTTAGCTTAAGTATCAACCGATGGCTAATCGTTAGCTTGATGCAAACATTGGCTTTCTTCGAACACTTGAGGTGTCCGTTGCCTCAATCTTAGTTCACTGCGCAATAATCTGCTCCACAAATCATTTACACCGACGCAGCACCTTCAGACTAACTTGTCTTTCTCATAGCCGGCTCCCAGCCCGTCTGCCGGTTAGCTCGCTTAGTTAGCCTAGCCGCTGTTAGCAGATGCTGCAAACTGTGTACGGCGTATTTACCGACGACACAAACACAAACGCCCTGAGCCGGTGGCTTTTGTTTACAGTGGACTCCTTGAACATAGCACAATGCAAGTCAAGTTTAAAATCAGAATGAAAGAGGCACCAAGAAGAATCTAGAGGATTCAGTCGCAGCTTCGTTCCGCTCCGGTTCAGATGCTGGAGTCCTCCTCTGCTGCGTCATCGTGACGCGTCCAAACTTTCCACTAATGAGCGCTGCGACAGGCCGCGTCATGTTTGTTTGTAAACACCTGGACTGTAAATAACTCAATTAACGCTAAAACCCATAAAGTCCATTTTCATAGCTCAGTGGAGTGCTGGTTTCTGGCTTGTGCCTCTATTAGTTGTCGTTTTGCTTTTTCAGGGCCTCTACCTCTAAATGCATAATGTTACTTTGCCAGAAGTTCTGCTAAAAATTTTTAATAATAGTACATCCAATCAGTTTTCTAAAAATGTTTTAAACGGCATACAGGAATTTCTGAGATGAGAGTTAATTTTTTTCGATTGAAAAAAATCTTATACAATGCCTTTATTGTCAGTAAACTGTTAGGTAATCAATTTACAAATTCTCCATCATTAACCAGACCCTTAAATATCATTCACTTGAAAAACTTTAAATGAACCAGAGAACAGCAAATGACAAATGTTAGCATGCCTGATGACGTAATATAGAACAATGGCTTTTTCCTTCAAACCTAAATGCAGCTGGTTATCGAAATGATGGGCTCATTCATTTATTTTCTGTCAATCAAATGATTTCAGTTTATTTAGCTCTACATTGCCCTCTCAACTGCACTCTTATAACAAAACCAGCTTCTTTCATTTGAGGGGAACTCGGCACTAGACTAAAAATTTGTCTTTCATTTTGTACTGATTATTTCCACCTGGTAAGATCTGTAGCACTTCAGTGTCTTTGTCACAGCTCCACTAATCAGTGGCAGCCAACTGAAACCCATGTAGGCCTTTTACTCCCAATAGACCATGTTTTGTAGCCTCAGACCATAGGCATATTTTATATTAAATTAATTCATCAGTGTATAACTCTTATTAGTGTCTGTGTGTTCATCTGTGTATATAATCTTAATGTGGCATACAATAGCCTCACAATTTTATGTTTACTTCCTGAATCACCTTTATTTAGGAAAATAAAAAACATCAACCTTATTATAAGACATATATCTTATATTAATTTACCTGTATATATATATATATATATATCATATATAATATTAGATATGTTTTTTTTTGTGAGGGTAAGAGGATAAAGTTGAAGAATGTAAGAGAAGAAAGAGGGAAAGTTGACAGACATATAAACAAACAGGTGATGTGCCGCTCCGTTTACATGACAAAACACAGACCGTCTGGAGTAACTTAAGCATTGTGGCAGCAACAAAGAAAACCCCTTCAGTGTACCGTCACCGTTTCCCTATGAGGGAAGACCTTTATTAACAAACACACAGGCTGGCTTTGGTGGATGACCTTCGGAGCGCACACACATACAAAGGCATGGTCCCCATGGCAACCGGCGCTTCGTTTTCCAGGAGACCCAGGGTCAGAAGAGGTAAGACCAAGAGAGGTGGAGACAAGAGGTGGACTGGAGGTTTGGGAGAGCTCAGGGTACAAGCAGAGGCCCGGGTTCACACACACACGGGTCCCTTTTCAGTATTTTACAGGAAGTAAAACATTTTTTGTGGGTGTATGTGGGTGGGTGTGCAGATGTATTGGAGAGTGTGATGTGAGTCCTCAGACGATTTTGTTCTCCAGCAAGGCGATCCTCTTCGACATACTCTCTAGTAAGACTTTGTCAAGGACAAAAACGTTGAAGACAGACAATAAGACAACAACATAAAAACCTGCTCTCTTAATATTCTCAGACTGTTTTACCCGTCATAAAGGATATATTTTTTTGTTAGTGCCTGTAGGGCATCTTCTACTTTCTTTTGGAACTTTACAAGGGAGTCGCATTCACAAGGGTCCTCCTCTGTGGGGTCAGAAAGCACATGTTCAAGTTTTGTGTTATGATCAGTGTGTACAGTGAACTACAAACAAGTATATCAAGTATTTATGTTTGTCTTTGATGCAACACTTCTGACCTTGACAGATGTTAATCTGCAGCTTCTTGGCAATCTGGGTCATAGTCTTGAAGTCGGCGGTGTAGAAGTAGTGCTCTCCAGTCGGCTCAGAGGCGATCTCTTTCAGCTCATCCTCAACTGCGTTGCCCACTCCAACAGCATACATCTTAAAGCCTGCAATGTACACAAGAATTTCCTCATCTGACTGGCATAAATACGGATTTTGTGTATCTACTTTCACAACATTCACGAATTAAGATGTAATCTTTCATCTTACCGTTTTCCTTGGCCTTCTTGGCAGCGTCTCCGATGTAGTCCTGGCTGCGTCCATCAGTGAAGACGATGCCAACCTTTGCAACTCCGGGCCGGGCTCCCTGACCAGCGCTGAAGCTGTTGTCTGACAGATAACGGAGAGCCTGGCCTGTCATGGTTCCCCTCTCCATGTAGGCCATCTTCTTCACGGCATCTTTCAGGTCTTTCTTGTTGTTGTGGCGGCCCAGGGGAAACTCCTGTTGGGAAACAGAATCCGGATATTGATAAGGGAGGGAAAGAAGTGACTTATTCTGGTGTTGCTGCTGGCGATAAACCTGACGTATACCTGTCTGACTGAGCTGGAGTACTGCACCAGTCCAACATGAGCCTTGCTGTCAGAGACATCCAGTTTGTCAATGATCTGGTTGATCCACTTCTTGACCAGCTCAAAGTTCTCAGGGCGCACGCTCTTAGAGCCATCGATCAGGAACACCACGTCTGTTGCAGAGTTGCTGCAAGCTGGCAATGTCAAAAGCACACGCAGAGCATGTTAACATGGTGGCACAATATTCGCACTTGGACAAATACCTTCAGACACACACACACACTCACCGCTGCAGCTGCGACCATCGTCCATGAGGGTAAAGCCATCTTTGCAGGCACACTTGTATGATCCTGGAGTGCTGATGCATACCTGCTCGCAGTCATGATCCCCAGTGGCGCACAGGTCCGACACTGTGTGTGTGCGTGCGTGCAGAACACACACATACACACAGTAGCATAGGTGCGCACACACACATAACAAAGAGGGGGTGGGTCGTTGGGGTTAGGAGGAGAAATAAAAACTATGTCAGTTTGAAAATGGGAAAATCTAGCACTGATTTTTAATGATCCACTGTGACCTGCAGGTGACCTCAGCCATTTGCAATATGTGTGGATGATGCACGAATCCAGTGGATCCTTAAAACAAACAGGTGGAAAAGATTGGAGTAGCCTTAAATAAACAAAATCTGTTTTGTTTTCTGTTCCGTGTCTAAAGGCGATAAACACAGGCTCGTCCAATAACAATCCAACACTGCGATCATGCAGCTCTGCCCTTGGATGAGGCGTCTGCAGCGAGACTGGCTGCTGCAAAGCGAGCAGCAGACAGCAGTCAAAACTGCCGCAGACTTGGAGCGCCGAAGGGCATCACTAATTAGAGGTTTAATGATTGTCACTAATGGATCGGTAATTACAGAAAGATCAGTCTCGCCTCTCGGTTATGTGAGAGTTGACTGAAGAACAGGAGCAAATCTCGTTCCAAAAGGTTGTTTCTGCCCTGATGCCCTCGTGCACTGGGAATTTTAAATAAATTTGAATGACTGGATGAATATACTGGAGGAGCAGAGGACAAAAGGGAAGGAACAATAAATTGGAATGAAAAGGATGACAGTCCTGACACCTTACCCTCAGTATAGGGAGGCCAGCAGACAGCTCTCTCCACAGGGATAAAGACGTGAATAACAATAGTCCCACCCTGACTTTATCTTTTGCAGCTAGCCTTGACTAATCCCTCTTTCCTTCTGCTTCCTCTGTCCCTCTCACTGTAAACACAATTGACTCAATACCTCTAATCTTTCCCTCTTTCTTCTCCCGCCCCGCTTACCACAGAAGGCTTCCTGGAACTTCTTGGTGAGCTTCTCGATGACGCTGTAGCTCTCCACGTAGTCCACGTGGTCATCCAGAGGATCACTGGCCATCTGCTTCAGAGTGCTCATGTCCACACGACCCACACCGATGGCAAAAATCTCAATGCCGGCGTCTCGTGCACGCTGAGCCACATCCTTCACATTGTCCTGGGGACGCCCGTCTGTCACAATAATGGCAACCTGTGACAGCAAGAGGTTGAGAAAATCATACACGGTGACTATCGGGAAGCTGGAATGAGGTGAACTGTGCATGTGAGAGCATCTTAAAATGTGCCAGACCTTGCTGATATCAGGAGATTTGACACGAGCACCCTCGCCGTCACTGAAGGCCACATTCAGGGCGAACTGGATGGCCAGACCGGTCATGGTTCCAGTGGACAGGGGCTCGATTTTGGTCACAGCCTTGACCAGTCCGGCTTTAGTGCGGTGTGTCTTCAGAGACACCTACAATATCATAATAGCACAATCAGCCAGGATCAGTCATATGAAGTGGTTGGAAAACGTGAAAACTTTGCGATTTCTAAAATCACATCCATACCTCATTCTTGACGCGGCTGGCGTAGTTGACGACTCCCACACGGGTGGCGTTGGGTCCAACATCCAGTCCCTCGATGACCTTTGCCAGGAAGACTTTAACTTGCTCAAACTCTGAAGGGCGAACACTCCGACTGCTATCGATAATGAACACGAGGTCTGTGGGACGGGTTTTGCACAAACCTGCCGCTGCATGTGGAGAAAAACGTATTTATTATGTAACCGCATCTTAATGGCTCATCAACATTTTATAGATCAATAAAATATTTACTATATTTATCTGGAAAGTTAGATGGAGGTAAAGAAACTGAGAAGAAGGGGGAAAAGTGGGAGGTGTGGGAGGAGCGTGGGGAGAAAGGGGGTAGTGAGAGGGGGAGAGGAGGGGGAGAGGTGATGGAAGCTGGGGAGATGTATATGTGAGGAAGTGGGTGGAAACAGAAAAACAGGATGCAAAGAGGCAACAAGGGTGGAGAGAAGGAAAGGTGGCTGCAGAGATGGAGAGAGGCTTAACCAGAAAAACAAGGGTGGAGGACAAAAAAGATCCAATGACCTGCTTTAAGTATACTGAAATAACCTCTTGCATAAATATATTGATAATGTGTTTCAGATTGACGACTCTGTAAATTTAACCCACTGAGAAAGCCCATGAGATGTGGCTAAAATTTCACCAATAGCTCAGAAAAATTGAAGCTTGAGTCGACCTTATTTTGTCTAAATTTACTCAAATTATGTGCACATTTTTGCTGACCTGTTGAAGTTTGCTTATATGTTTGAAAGAAACTTAATTTTGTGGCAATGACGCAGTGTGAGGTGAGGCATTTGTGGGCTCGTTACACTAATTGCCGGCTCACTAAAACGTCCAGTGTCTCTTAAAGATCACTGATCTCCCTTCTCACCCTTCACCTCTCTCCCTCCCTCCAAGTTTCCCTCCTACAGACTTCTCAATCTCTGAAACAACACACAAACACACACACACACGCCGGCAGCAACCGCCACACTCCGTCCTGAAACACTCACACAAACTGTGCACGTACATTATCCACATTCATAACCACTAGAAAGAACACAGAAAACATAATTGACTGTAACACTGAATGACTTGTCTCTCCTAATTGATTACTTACAATTCTGCCCATGAAAATGTGAAAAACTATAAAACTGTGACGCTGTATTTTCTTGCATTAACGGAATAATCACAGCGCTCTAAACAGTTATTCAAACCAATTTCATGGTTGTCCACAACAACAATATTTCCCTTTTCTCTCCAGTCGTGTTAATTCTGCGAGTTTATTTATGGTGCAAAAAGGTGCAGCAAGTTCACACACATCACACCAGCATGGATATGAGAAGAAGACTGGACTCTGACTAAAGAGAACCTGAAGAATTAAAAGTTGGCTCCTTGGCTAATGAGACAAACTGACTTTTGGAGGAATATTGCTCACCTGTTGAGACCAGTTTGTCATCATGAAAACTGTCTACTTTAAGATTCGTTGGTGTTAAAAATTAAATTCTAAGAGTGAAAACCATCAACAGCCTCCGAGTCCTCACCTGGAGTTAGGCTCAGACTTCAGGGGTTAAAGGTCATCGTCTTACCCATGGCAGCGGCCGTGCGAAGGTCAACGGCGGCTTGAGCTCCTATGAGGCCCAGTAGCAGCAGGAAAAACGGCGGGGCAGGCGTCATGGCGACAGCGACAAGGGGGCGACGACTAAACGCGGGGGTCCGAGCGCGGCCGCAGACGGTCCTAGAGTGAGAAGCAGAAAGGAGACAGAGCAGGGCGAAGGGAGTTCCAGGCGATGGGGACGGCCACAAAGTGAGACTGAGTGACTCGGAGCTGCAGGTTATCAATGCAAGAGCTTCACACACTCAGCCCACAGACGGCCCCCCCTCCACCGCTGCAGTGTGTGTGCGCGCGTGGATGTGTGTGCGTCTGTGGGAAAGAGAGGGAAATACCTGCTCTGGGAGGACCTGAAACGGTGGGCAGGGAAAGACAAACACACCTTGGTACGGCTGCGACGTGCAGGTAAGTGTGTATGTGAGAGTTGTAAATTTGTGTGTGTGCGTCCCAGGCCCAGAGTGTGTACAGTATGTGTGCGTCTGGCTGGGGGTACAGGGGCGGCTGGGGTTTGGTGCAGAGTGCGCGCCAACGCAGCCGCCCCAGGTTGGATTTGGCCAAAGCTCAAATAAACACCAACATGAATTCCTCTTTTCTCCCCGTGTTCCCTCGTATAGCAAACACACATTTATGGTGCGGAAGTGAAGGAGAGCCACCGTACACAGCCTACAGTGTTCCTGCTGCTCTGCGCTGCATGTCGGTCGGTGTGTGTGTGTGTGTGTGTGTGTGTGTGTGTGTGTGTGTGCATTTTTGTATAAATTCAAGTATACAAGCCATTTCCCGGCTTCTTAATTTGAGTTCAGTGCGACTAAATTATTTCTAACATTTTGTATTTTTCTTTCACCTGTTTGGTAATTTTCTCTCATTTTTCCTCCTTCACAAGATCATTTAAACCTCGTTATTTATCACAGTTTAAGATCAGTTTAACCACAGAGCAGATCACGCAAACTGACATACTAGAGGTAAAAAATTCAAGATTAAAACATCATCAGATTTCCTCTTTTAACCTTTGAGTCCTCTCCTGCTTCTCCATAACTCTCCTCTCTTGCTGTCAGGTAGGCAGCGAGCCCCACTGGAGTAAACACAGTAGGAAAACACACTTTCATCAATATGCTCACATACACATCTTTAATCTCTCTATAGAGTCTGCGTACACACTAAACAGAGACCCCTCTTTTCCCTCCAACATCCAGCTCCACCCAACCTGCTCAGCCCTGCATTCCTCTGCAACCCCCCCTCCCTTCCTCCTCCTCCTCCTCCTCATCCACACACACCTTCATCCACACACACACACACAACCTGAACAGGCTGCAATTGAGGGGGTAGAGTCTTCGAGGGAAACAGGAGCTGGGGCTGTACAGTAACCGGCAAGACAGATTTCCAACTGAACATGCTGCAACTGAACGGGGTGTGTGTGTTATGGTGGTGGTGGTGGCGATGGGTTGGGGATGAAAGAGACGAGATGTTATTCCTGGACAGCGTGTCATCTCTGGGAATGGTCTGTTTGGCTCATAAGAGAAGACACAACACACACACATATATTTATGCAAACATAGTATACAGTACAAACACACACACAGGTTATGTAACCTTGTCTACTTGGCAGGCCGGACAAACACAAACATAAGCAGGTAGCTGGAGGTGCCCTTACCTGCATCCATCAGCTTCGGTGAGCAATTTCACAAGGCCATGAAATTAACTGCCTTATCGCGCTATGTTAACATAAGATTATAGTCACAGAGAAATGAAGGGGGACTGATGAGACAAGGACATTAAGGAAAACGGGATTTAATTGTAGGTGAACTGATAAAAAAATAACAGCTTAAAATATCTATGACATGAGGTTTGACATATTACACACTCGTATGACCCTCAAAGGTTATTTTCAATAAGCCTTTGCTATTGGTTTTACAAAGCAAAAGTTGGGTTGGGACTAACGATTCACTGACAATCAAGTAAAGGTGTCGTTAAAATGCGTTACATTAATAAAGTTTTGTTCGACAGGAAAAAAAAATCAACCGGCTACAGCTTTGAACACATAACTATGGGAAGTTTTAACTGCTGGTTGGAGAAAACTGGCAATCTGAAGAGAATCATGGGCACTGGAAAATTGTGACTTGCATTTGTTATTACTTTATGACATTTTATTGAGGAAAAAGCAGCCAACTATTAAATAAATAAGCTGCATCTTAATCAGTAATGAAAGAAAAAAAAATCTAAGGCCCTTGTTTGAGCAATTGTCAAAACAGTTTCTGATTAGCATCTTTTGAACACTAATCCAATGATTTCTTTATGATCGCTACGTGCTCATTTGAGCTTTCATTAACAAATCACATCTATCACATTTGGTAGGACTCCAAGAGGTCAGACTCTGCCTAGTTATTTTCTTTTTTCCTTTTCTCCCTCTGTCCATTTACCGTTAGCAAGAAAAATAGAAATCTAATCTGAAGACATGGCGTATTTGCTTTTTTACTGAAAAGGGAAATGTTCCTGTAAGTCCCGTTTTCTCTGCCAAAAGCAAAACCACTTTGGGGATCTCAGTTTAGAAAAATATTCATCACAATAGTACTGCCAGACCCATAGAGTAAATGGAAAGAAGTGTAAAGCAAACAAATCCCACCATCTCAGCCACACTGCATACCATTAAGCATTTTTATATAAGGCAACATTGAAATAATACTTCTTTCAGTGGAATATTTACTATCAACAAGGCTAGGTGTTCATTTTTAAACAACATTTGAATACGCAAATCTATTTATTTGGTCCAATCGGTTGTTGTTTTCCGGAGTCACACTCCCTCATGTTCCTTCGTCTTCCAATCCCAACAAAGTCTGTTTGTCATATCATCTAAAAACAAACTTAAAATCAACAGTCTAATGCTATTTGAACTAGAGAGCCTGACGACTGGAGGATCTCCAAACTGTGTTTCAGCTTTGTTCTACAACCAACATCATTACTCTCAATCTGTAACATCAATAAACTTTATCCACTAATATCAATAAACTCCATTGCTTGACTTGACCAAGGAGTGTGAGGTTTTCTTTTACTTTTTTCCTCAGTCCGCCAGTGTGTGTGCGTGCAAACTGTCACAGGGTTTGGAAAGACTGTGAGGATTTCACGTTTGACCACATCCATAAATATTGAAACAAGTTGCCTTTCTTCAAATCTCAGAATACTGAGTAAATATTGACACGGTGGGATCGGGATGGAGAAAAGCATCCCATACCTGTGCTCAAACACATATGCACATATATGCACACTCATGCTTAAAGACAGACACACACACGCACACACACACACACTCATGCCCTCCAGCTATGCTCTGAGCACTCTCTGTTCACACGAGGGAAGTCCTGGAAAAATTAATTGCAAAAGTTAAACCTACATGAAGCTCTCCTCAGTCACATGTGCGAGCTCACTGACACATGAATATGAAGGAGTCTGAGACCATGTAGACCAGAACGTGCAGTACAGCAAACGAAAGGCATACAGAGAGTCCGACTTCACCTATAAAATCCAGAGTAAAAACAAGTTTGAATAGAGCTCTCACTCTTCATTCCTGAACGGAGAGTGTGTATGTGTCTCTTTATGCAAGAGTTGGAGAAATTTCTCCACTGCAAATGAAGTTTTTGTGCGTGTGTGTGTGTATGTGTGTATTTGCATGTGTGTTTATGCTGCTCTTCTCCTGCCAACAGTAACAGCTCAGTAGCCAGTAAGCAGGAAGAGAGAGGTTCATTAAAAACCCAAATACAGCGCTTACATAACCAACAGTTCTGTTCATCCCAGAACCCCCTGTGCTACAAACACACTCCTCCTTCATCCCCATCTTCTTCTCCCTCCCACGCCTGCTGGCAGAGCCCACCCATCATCCTCTTCTCCTCCCATAGCAACGGCTCATCTCAGCTCTCCTCCCTTGTTCCCAGACCAACACACTGCCTCACTCCTCCGTCTCCCCCCTCCTTTATCTGCTCCCTTGGTCCCTGCCACCTCCTCCTCGCTCTCATCAAACAGTTCCTTCTCTTACTCCCACGTCATCCGAGCTTCACTTCAAACTTTACTTTTACATACAGCAGGACTACGAACCAGGAATATTAACTAGAGTTTAAACAAGAAACTTTTTGTTTCACTTGCACTACTAAGAGGGAAAATGACACACTACTCCCAAATGTCTTTTTTTTAGTCTCAGGAAAATGCCTTCAGCTTTTTCAGAGGCGGAGTTTCATATAGGGATTTGGTTTCCACAAGCCCCTGTAACTGACTTGCATACTAAGAATAAACAGAGCGGAAAGTGCAGTAAGTGTGCGAACACAGCAGATGGCAACACAGATTAAGGATTTGGGCTGTATCAGTGATTGTCTGGGATACCTCTACCCTAGAAACCACTCGGTTCTTATTCTCCTCTATCGGATTAGAGACTGTCACATATCATCCCCCCTCCCAACGGAGGGACATCTGAAAAACAACACCCTGGTAATACTATAGATCCCAGCATGCGGTCGTCTTTCACAAAGTAGCAGCGCCCACCTGTGGGCTAAAGGCAGGCTTGAAGCAAGTCATACTTGCATATTTTCTCCTTTAAATCTAAATTTTCCAACAGATTGGGCATGGACTGATAAAGGGTCTTGGAACACTTGCTGCTGGGCGGCAAGATAACCATGTGACTAATAATAACTATATCAAACCTAATATTGTTGTCTATTTCTGACTTAACCATCTTAAATTCAGCACCATCTGTCTGTGCTTAATTTATCTCATAACACTTAATAATATAGTGATTTCAGCTACAACAGATGCAAGAAAAACTGTTGATGTCAATCATCATTTTTCAGGATTCAGCAGTAGATGAAACTCTGTGTGAGGATACTGTTTTGGTGCTGCTAAGAGGCCTACTTCTATTCATTTTTTGTATTTTAGTAATTTGGTCATATTGACATACAGACCAAATAAAGTTTCTGAATCACACTAAGTTCCCCTTGCTGGCATTAATAACGATTATAACTTTTCCTATTTTAGCATAACAGCTGTGTTTTACTAAAATGTCAATACTTTAACATATATCTGTTCACAACTACATCAATATGTACGTCTCATTTAAAGCAAAGGCTCTGAACCACTGGACCATGGACTGGTACTGAGCCTTGGAACATTTTCACCCATACAACAACAAAGCAATTTGATTGAGCAAGTATGTATATTTGCATAACTTCAAAGGCTATTGTAATCTTCTTGTGCCATTATTACCTTGAATGTAGCACCACCTTTCATCTGTCCTCGTCATGGCCAGTAACAACATACTGATTTTTAGCTACAGTACATCACATGCATGCAACTTGAAATTCTATGAGGCCAACGCCCGAGTGTTCGTCTTCCATTTTTATAGTCTAAATGAAGTTTTAGATTTGTTTTGTTTATGCTTGCCTGCTCTCGTTCTTATGCATTCTCATCTCTCTTTATCATTTTCTAACTCAGTACCAAGGGTTGCTTGTGTTGGGAGGTTTCTGAACTGACACGCAGGAAATCTGTGAGTGTCCATGCATGTACTGAAGGAGCTTGGAGAGCAATTACTCTGCACTCTGCTCAGACTGAACAAAATGGTCTTGGTAAAAAACAATCCAAAGAAAAAATAGGTTAGGAAGTTCTGATGTTAAAAAAAATCGCTATGCAAGTTAAATGCAAAAATAAAGGATTAATAGAGCAATAGGCATTTATTGCAACCAGCTACGTGCAGCCCAACCAAGACTGGTAGCATTGACATTTCTATGAGGGCATCCTAATAGTAATACAAATAGAGAGTACAGAACCATTCACACCTGTTATATTTACAAATGTAGTTCAAACACGCACACAGTCTCAGACTCATTCAAACATGGAGTCAAAAATGTATGGGGGAGAAGTCGCAGTGGAAGTGACTATGAATCTCGCGGGGACTGTCATGCTCAATTTTGACACAAGGGGGCACTGGAGGGCTTTCAGGAGAAGCAGAGCTGACCTGAGAAGACAGCAGGGATGAAACCTTGTTTGGAGTGCTCTCCGCTCTGAGGCAAGAGGGCCGCAGAGTCGACACAGGTGGGAGGACGGCGGTGGTGGTGGTGGAGGTGGTGGTGTTTATCTGGGTGTGTGATGATCGCTGGGAGTTTGCATGTGAAAGCCCAAGGTCGCCCCGGGGGAAGAACGAAGGGAGAGGCAAGCTGGTGGTGGAGGGAGCCTGGTGGTCTCGAGCAGATCCCAAACTGGCAGGGTATGTTGGAGGGCACTGAGGATGCTGGTGCATAGCTGGCTGGCTGTACATGTTACCCCAGGGGTAAGACTGGTATGCTGCGATCCCACCTGAATGGAAAACACATGTTTGACATGTGACAATTAAACTTTATTAGAGTTAAGTTATGCCTCTAACACGCCTCTTCCTGTCTTATGCACAAACATGTCCAACTCATGAATGCCTGTTGCTTCTCATTTTGTGCGCCCCACCACGGCTCCTGCTTTCTCTCTCTCAAATTTCATCTCTCATTGAACTGAGGAGCTATTGCAGCTCCTTCCCAAAGCCATTTTAAACTGCAGCCACGATGCAGCTTCACCATTCTCATCTGCCACTGACTACTGCTACATTTTATACTTGATAAACACGTAAACTGGGGCGTCTCAGGGACCAAGTGATCCACACCACTATCATGTTACTGGAGCTTTCCAGGTTTGCTTTCAGTCAAACCACTTTTTGGTTCTTTAAATAAATTCTGCAGTATTTTAACACTCCTAACAATGATTTTAAAATTTCCACATTACTGATTTGCACATCCGACGAGACCTTGGATTAGCGAGTTTTGGATGCCTAAATTAATCAGATGTCAGTTAATTGCAAAGACTCACCATGGTGACCAGTTGGCTGCAGCAGAATTTGCCCTGCACTCTGAGACTGGAAGTAGGCATGGCCTCCAGTGGAGTAGGTCACCACACCAGTCGAGTTTCCTCCAGGGGCAAAGGTCAGGTAGGAGGTAGGGTTGGAATCTGGAGGATTGGGGGTGAGGTAGGGGGTGGGGGTGAGGTAGGCCATGTGGGGCAGAGATGTTTGAGGCTGGTGCTGAGTCTGGTGCTGAGGCTGGTGCTGTGGCTGGTGCTGAGGCTGACTGGTGGGGTAGGAGGTCTGGAGCTGGTAGGACATAGTGTTGTTCTGCTGGCTGGATGTCATGTAGTCGAGCTTCTCCGCAAAGTCAAACAGTGAACTGAGGACAACACAAAGAAGGATTTTGTGATGAATGCACATAGGTAGATATTTAATGAGTACTCAAAGAGTTACCTCTATGGTCATAAACACCTAATCTCCTGATTCTTCAATAATTATGATTTAGTGCAAAAAGGCAAGGAGTGGTGTCCTTGTCTGCTGTATCGGGCCTAAAGAATGGTTTGCTGCACCTCATTATCATTCTGCTATCAGGGAAAAAAGTGCTCTGACTTATTTGTGTTTATTTACACCAACCACAATCATCTTGGGTGGTACTAAGCCCATGATGCAGTGATGGTCCCACGGCAAAATACCAATGTGAGATGAATAAAATGGCCAATTCACCAAAAGAATCAAGCAGGCCGGCCTTATTACAAGACCCACATCCTTGGCAAAACTTGCCGTTTTCAGCATGTAGGTGGCTGCTTGGAGGTTGTTTTGTTTCCTGTACCAAAGTTGCCTTTGAAAACATTAACATGCAGATAGCGGGAGGGGAAAAGAAAGACAAAGTCTACATCCAGTGAGTCAGACCAGGCAAGGAGCAACACAAGGAAGTGTGTGGAGAAGGCTCAATACTGCCAGCAAAGGAGTGAAAGGCCTGTCAGTCCAAAAAGACTAAGTATTTTTATCTACCAAAGAGTAACCCTAACAGCAATGTTGCCAGCATGGCTAAAAACAATCTCTTACTTCTTTTAATATCCAGCCATGCAGGTAGATTAAGGGTTATATTTTCAGGTTCTCTGATTATTCATCAGAGTTTTTTTGCTGCCACACCAGCTCAGTGGATGTGAATGTGCCAAAGTACTGAACATTCAAACGCAACACTGTTGTAGGTGGTGATGTCACATAATGCCCCATTGAGCCTACAGAAGACGCTCTCAACCATTTTTAAAGGAATTATATTTTCTGTAGACAATAGTTCCAATAACACTGTGTTCCTTTTTGGATTGATGCTTAAAGTCTCTTAACAGTGGGACTAGGAAATTTCTTGATATTCATTGTTTTTGTATTGTCTTGCATTGGGGGTGTATGGTGGGGGTGTAGTGCTGTGATACATAACTGTAGTCAAACAAACACAATTTTGTTCAAAGCAATTACTAACCGAGATGTCTCTCAGCATGATTTCTGAAATACTTTAGAGCACCAGCTGAAACTGACTCCCCGCTACTACAGGCACTGTGTGAGCTATCATCATATTTATTTCACAGGATCCCTCTCTGCCTACTCTCTATCCTCCTGTCAGCTCTTGTATCCGTCCATGTTGGAATCGTCCTCTAGTATTCATGTCACAGTTTGCTGTGAACTGAACTGACCTGGTGTCCGTCTGCAGAGACTGGGAGTCACGATGGGCCAAGGTGGAGCCACCCTCCAGGGCGTCCAGGAAGAGAGATGGGGTGTGGGACGGGGCGTTGAGGATAGGCGGAGCGGGGTTGGTGGGATTATAGGTCGTTGTGAAAAGGGGGAGGCTGGCTCGACGCAGTGGGGGAGGGCTGTGCATGGGACGGGGGTGATACTCCGTCAAACCCCCCTGAGATGAAAGTTGGTGCTGGCCTGCATCTCTCGCTCTGCATTGACCTTGGAGATAAAACAAGCAGATTTAAAACTGAGATTAGAGAGAAGCTTTAGTTTAGTTTGGAAGTGATTTTACTGTCTCAAAATGCTGCCGGGCGAAAGTTTGCTGAGCCTGAACCTGCGTAATTCATGACTTTTTTTGGCCTCAAGATAAAGCTCCCCTTGTGTTAGAAAATGAACTAAAGACAGATGGTTTGTACTGCTACAAACTGCTAATATGTGGTGATAAAGCCACTAATTTCACTATTAGCAATTTAATGAGATCAAACTTGCAACTACCTTAGAGGACACCTCATTGTTTTACAACATAACTGAGTGAACTTCAACACTTTCGCTGGACGACCTGATTTTTTTTTCCAAAGCTCTTTAAGTTGACATCTCGCTATGCAATCACAGAGGTCTCACTGAAGTGAATCATTGGGCTGTGCTTTATCACTCTGAACATGACCACAGGATGCACGTCCAGGGCTCCAGACTGCAAGCATTTTCTGTGAATAAACATTTCACATGGTTGCATTCATGTGAGTGTATGATGATCATTAGGCTTCTGGCCAGTGCAGGTAGCAGCTGCTTTAGCTGCAGTGATGGAAATTTGTAATTCTTCATCTTCACTGGCTCAGCCAATGTCTCTCTACCTGATGTGTGAAACAATACAATTAATTCTTGCATGTCCCAATGATGAAGCAGTCCATAGCTGATTATTTTAAAAAAATAAAATGAGGAGAGAGAGGAAGATGATGATGATGATGATAGAGTAGGAGAGGTCCTGACTCAGATACTCCTGTCGATAAAGAGTGCAGGTGCAGGCAGGGAGATACCGACCGACTCTGTGAAGAAGAAGAACTACTACATTGAATCACAATTAAATGAATTAAATGAAAAGTACTAACAATTATGATTTTGGCCTCTCATAATTAAACAAATGTGATCAATTGCTGTATTAACATATAAATTCTCTGTTTGTACACAACTCTGCAATTAGAAAGCAATCCATGTAGATGAAATCACTTAATTAATTTAAAATCGACATTACAACACCTTATTTCACTGTTTTCAAAGGAATTTTTGATGCAGTTGCCTGGCAGCATCTACCTTAGCCTGCATGTGCAGGGTTTAGGGAATGACAATAAATTCTAGTGTCTATACATCAGCTGTTCGGCAAGTGCAGAGTTCATCCTGTGCAGTTTATAGGAATAATGTCAGAAAACCTCCAGCAAAAGACTGGTGACAAAACTGATATGGTTAACATAATTTGTAAATATGAAGTCTAACTTAACTATCAATCTTTACGTTAGTGTAAAACCAGGGTAAACGAAGACAACTATTCATCAGCATGCATTAATTAAGGCCACGCTGTACCCAAAAAGCGATGTGGAGGTGCGACCAAATCTTGTGCTTTCCGTGAAGAAGTAGGTCTGCAGCCCTGACATCAATTAAATACCATGAATGTCACAATTCTGTTTACAATTTTTGTACTATAAAACGTTTTCTTAACACTAGGCTTCTGAGCAAATGTTGTGAAACCCTTAGCTAAAGAGAGGCTGCCATTTCCCTTCTACTTGATTTACAGACAATGAAAAGTTGAGTTCATCATTTAGCTAAACTTATAATTTTGCAAAGGCATCTTGACTCAGGCAAAAACAGAATTATTGTGAAACGAAACTAATGTGAAACAACCTAACGCATTAAAAACAATATATTTCCATAAAGTGTGTAAATGTGTGTGGACACCTGGGCTGTTGAAGCTGGCCAGAAGGTTGTTGTAGGAGGGTGGGGTCTCAGTGGACAGGATGGAGAAAGTCGGCAGCGCTGGTGCGAGCTGGGGCAGCTTGGTAGCATAGTGACCAGAAATAGGCGCTCCCTTACTGAAATACGAGAAAACATAGTTAACAAGAAATCAGACAACAAGTAAGCTTAAATGAAATAAAAAACACACATATGACAAGACTGTAATACTTGGGTGCCAGTGTGGGATTGCTCTGGTGATGTGGGCTGCTGCTACTGCTGCATTCAGCTCTGCTCGGTCCATTTTCAACCTTTGCGGTGATGGAGCGAACTTTCCTCCATTTGGCCCTGCGGTTCTGAAACCAGACCTGTGACACCGAAACATCCACAGGAACACAATACATTGGATGTCAGCAAACATGACCCAGGATGGTGGTGAGAAAGTAGAAGGTGCTCTGAACAGGGTGAGTGTGGAAGACTAAGAAGACAGTAAAATCTAACAGATATTTCGAAGTCTTGAGTACAATTCCTTAGAGGATCCAAAGAGGAAAATGACGGTCTAACCATAATCCTCTGAGGTGTGACACCGACTGAAGCAGCGATGACTTTCCTCTTCTCGGCGTCTGGATAGTGATCCTCCTGGAAAAGGGCCTCTAAATGCTCTAACTGATCTGCATGCAAGTGTACATGTTCATACACACACAAAACACAGGTCAACTTTTTGCATAGCGGTCAAATCCGAACACACGTGGACAAACAGACATTTCCCTCACCGGTACTGTAGAGTGTCCGCGTCTTCTTCTTCGGTGCAGGAGGCAGCAGGCAGCTGTCCACGGTCTCCAGGCCAGGCAGCAGGGGGAAGCTGAGGGCCCGGCCTCGGCCCCTGGCGCTGTAGCGAATGGAGCGTCGGGTGGAGTAGACCTGAGTTATCTCCATCTGCCATGAACCAGACCGGCATTACCTCATTATCTCAGTCAAATTCACGTTAAATAATATTAACTTGACTGTGCTGTTCTTTTAAAAACATTGATTTTCTCATTGTTTTGATAATCTCATTTCTTTAAAGCTGAATACAGTTTTGGAGGACGTCCAAAGCCAACAATGAGAGTGTCTGCCAAAACAAAAATGAGGTTTACAGAGGAGCGCACAGCTGAATGTTTCAGCCCACAGAAAGCAATGCAACAGTGACACAATAAAATTAAAAGCTGGTTCAGGTCTTCAAGGACCTAGTAATTAATTTCCAGTGTTCTCTATGTAACCCCAAAGTGCGACAGTGACATGTCTATACTGTTGGGCTGTAGCCTGCAGGTAATGATTTTTCTCACTTCCTGTTAATTGCTTGGTCCTTTAAATGTCAGAGAAAATAATAAAATGCCCAGTGCAATTTCCCCAGGCCCAAACTAATGTCTGCACACTGCTTGCTTTGTCTGGAAGCCAATCTAAATCCAAAGGTATCAAATTTACCATCAGCAAACACATTTGCGGAAAGTTTTTTTTTAGTTTGAAAAAGACTGAAGCAACTGATCGATTATTAAGATAGTTGATAATTAACCTCCTGTCATTCAGTCTATTAATTTCAGCTCTACTATGCTCACACACTTGTCGGTACTCTATATGATCCAACATGATGTACTCGCAAGTCAACAAACTGATTTTCTGATTTAATCTGTTCAATTTAGATTTCAGAAGGAGAAATGCTGAAGCTTGAAATCAGGGGAATTGAAATTTCTTGCTGTTGCTCAACCCATGACTTTATCTATTATTATCCACAATTCTGGATGGTGGACAAAAAAAATAAATCACATTTCATGGTGTAGGTACAGTCTGTCACTGTCAAATAATGATACAATATAATCACATTTTGCCATTTCCCCTTACAAAAGCTTTACATTTAGATGAAATGATTTGCCGCAGTGTGTATGTGCTCGTTGCAATGTTTTAATGAATCTCGGTCACCTACTAATATGACACTCCAGCACACACTGAGCCAAATATTCCGATCCAGGATGTCACTTGCACAGCTGCATCATTAATAATGCAGAGGGTTGTAGGTGTGCATCATTTCAGACACATTATTATGCACAGCAAATGAGTGATTTTTATAAACCTGTTGAGCTTTACTCAAATATGCAGAACTGTGTGTTGGCTTGGAGGTTATGTCTCACGCTCAGCAGCCAAAAATGATTTCAACACACATCTCTATTTTTGTCTTATAAACGTTCTAAAGTTTCCAAAGATCTCAAATCTGTCTGAACTTTGAGTCTAAAATGGAGCAGCAGACATGCAATTCCCAAACAGATGGAATGATAAAGAACACAGAGCATTTGGTGTGAATATTTCACTCAGTTTGAGTGTGTGAGCGTACAACTCAAAGAGTCTGCAGTACTTACTTTTAAGAGGACATTAAAAGGAAACGCATGTGTTAAGGGTTCTTTAAAATGTGAGGAAATTGGTTCACGAACAATCTTGTTCTTTATATACATTCACAGATCTTTAGTGAACAAGTGAATGGCCTCTCCTCACCTCGAGAGGCTGTGGGCCCTGCTGGGGGAGACTGTGAGGCTGAGGGGGGCTGTGAGGCCTTTTTGTCCCCGATGGTTGAGGAGCTGCAGACTGGACCGGGGCCGGAGGCTGTGAGGAGTACAGCAGGGGGATAGGAACTGGGGGACAATACAGCCCTGTCCCACCAAAACCCAAGTAGACTGAGTCAGACAAGTCACAACTGTTCATCAGGCCGATGGCCGGCTCCGACAGAGCCGAGCTCTCCTCTGAGCTCATGGCTGGCACCTCCTGTATCTCACTTTTCTTTTCCTCCTCAAACGTCAGACCATCAGTCTTTACCTCTCTCCTGTTTCTCACCGGCTCACTTTGCTTCTTACCTCGCCTCTTCCTACTCTTCTTCTGCTCCTCTTTCTGCTCTAAACTTTTTCTGACTTTATTCTCTTGCTTATCAACCATTGTTTCCTTGGCGTCCTCAATCTCCTTGTCTTCCATCTGCACCTCTTGTGCCTCCTCCGCTTCCAGCCTACTCTCAGGCTTCACCTGCTCCTCCTCTTCTCCCTCTGTCACCACCGCTTCCTTCTCTGATACAACTTTCTTTTCTCTCTTCTCCTCCCCCTCCTTCTCTTCTCGCTCCGTCTCCTCTCCTGCCTCTTCATCCTCCCTCTGACTGAACACTTCCTCCTCTCTCTCCCTCCTCCTCCTCCTCCTCCTGCTGCTTATCTTCCCTTGGTGGCTCTTTGTCTCCAAATCCTCCAGTTCCTCACACAGAAGGCTTGGACAGTCTGCAACAGAATGAAGTGAGAGTTTTTAAATTCTTTACACTCTAGTCCAGGTCTTGTAAGGCCTGGATCGCTTTCATCAAGACACAATATGATAACTGGTACTTTATCCCTGTAAAGCAGTGACTTAAGTGTCTCTGTATTTGCATTGTTTTACATTAGCACCTAATTCTTCGAATGATGTCCCATTACTACTGGTCATAATTTCTTCAGAACAATATATTTATTGATTTGATCACTTAAAGACAGTCTTTTCACATAACACATGCTGTGTTTAACATAGGCTGACTGTAAGGTTTCTATGTGAAGCATCAAAGACGATGCAAGTAGTGAAATCACACCATATAAATAAAATTGACTTGACTTGAGTATTTCCATATCGAATATTTGTAATTGAGAGTATTTTAAAATTCCTGTGGGAATAAATAACAAAAAAATATCAGAAAATATAGGATTCAGGACTTCAAAACCAGAATTATACAGCTGGCAGTGAGGAGAAGGCTTTGTACTTTGTGCACAATTGATTTTTTTTTCCTATTAAGTAATGTTTTTTTTTTTGTTTGTTTGTTTTTTTTTTAACTTTTTGGTCTGTAATGTGTCAGAAACAGCAAAAAATTTAAATTTAAAAAACACAGTATTTTTCTAAATCCAAAGCTAAAATGCCCAAAATGCAACATCTTCGTTAGAAGATTGTTAGTTTACAGTCTTTAAAGAGATAATACATGACAAAGCTGTGCATCAGGTGGTTCATTACCTCCAAGTTCTATTACAACAATAGACTGTATAAACGTAGCAAAGCTCATTATTCTTTGTCTAGACAATTATAGCCTACATCCAATAACTTTTATCAAATTAGTACCTCACAGTAATTTTATAAACATTCTTGGAAGCATCTATGCTACTGTGTGAACGGCATTGTTCAAGATGATCACCCACTTCATTGTCCAGGACAAAGAACTCATCACATGGACGTGCCTACAACTATTATCCTCCTCCTTCCATATCCGTGTGCCAGCAGTATTCCACAACAATCGAATTAACATTATCAGTCATTGAATTTCATACAACTTGTGTTTGTGATTTACACTGAATAAAAATATAAATGCAGCATGCAAATGGTTTTATTTTCTGACGTAAAGAAAAAGTTTTTTAAAAATTCAGAAAAAGGTTTTCATTTAGGTAACTGTGCACAAAACGGTTTTGAGCTGTTCAACTGGTGGCAAACTCTGGACAACTGAGTTAAAGACAATAACCAGATAGTGTAACCAACACAGAGACACTCGTTTGACCAGTGACTGCACAACAACACCTTAAAACGCAGCTTTATTGAAATGACATGACACCAAAGATGACAACAGAAAGACAAGAGTGGACTGCTGACTGCTACATGTCAGTTAGTCAGGGACTTGAATGTCCATCATTTGTCATCTAAGAAATAGATTCAGACAGTAAGCATAGTAGTGATATAGTAGGACAGACAATCTGCCTCACGATTTTCTAGATGGATGTGTCTGACAACGCGATTATGTCCCCCAAAAATGTCCACCAGCTCCTTCAGGAGGAGTGGGACATCAGTCTAAAAGCAGCATCAGCAAAGAATGTAGTGTGTACTTCACTAAAGGAAAAAACAAACATTTAAATGGGCAAAAGTAACCAGTGTTACTTGGAGGTTTATCTGTTCTGATCCTTGATGCCAGATGTCTTGTAGATTTTTGGTCCTCTCCAACAGACAGGAGACCAGACCTCAAGGAGAAAAGCCTCTGCTTTCCACTAAAGTACTAAAGGTAGAATGTAAAATGTTATGCAATTTCTAATTGTTTTACATACACATGCAACGTTGCACTTTTAGAAATTAAATGGATTAAATGGACTAAGATCTTTCAGTATGTTTCTGCGTACACATGTACTACCATACTTTTGATTGATCCATACTTGTTTCATCTATTCTGCTGTAGTGATGCCAGGCACTGTATAAAGTGTATTTCAGCTGTAGTTGAAGTAAAAAGTTGTTTAAAATAAATCTCACAAATCTTTCTGATTGGTGAAGGCATTTTACTTTGTGAAGTCCATCAACTTAAATTTACACTTCATCCTTCGACAAATTTCAGTGAATGTGTGAAGATTAGGTTTACTACTTCTTTAGTATTGTGCGTCTGACATCCAGATTTCTTTACATTTTTCTGCTGCAACTCAACTGCTGTTTTCTTCTAACAAGGTCGCAAATGAAAGTAAAGAATAAGTCCAACAACAAAATCATGTTTTACAGTCATGTTTGGTAGAAGCTAATACTTCTGTGGGGAAAACTGGAAGCTTGTACTTGAATTTTCTTACTTACTTCCTAAAATTAAATTGCTAAAATTGAATCAAATGGCTTGAGTACATCTAACTTCAACCAGTGGCATTAAAATGACTTATTCAATTGCAATGTTTCCAATTGATGCAACTTATTTAGGTTGGTCCAACAATTCTCTTTTTCTTTCATTGTGTGTCGGAAATACCCTTAATTTATACTGCATGCTGTACTTGTGTGTGTAAAACTTCAACTGGTATTTTGCATGACTTAGATCATTAGTGAGTATTAAAATTGTTGGAATTACTGTTATGTCAGCTAACCAGCAGAACTATGCTGCATCCAAATGTAAGCTTTCAAATATAAATCAATAACAAAATCATGTTTTACATTCATGTTTGGTAGAAGCCAGCACTCCAGTGGGAAAAATTGGAAGCTTTTAAGTTGAATTTTCTTACTTACGTCCTAAAATTAAATTGCAGCAAAGCTCATTTGAGATGAATTAAATGGCTTGAGTGGATCTAACTTCAACCAGTGGCATTAAAATGACTTATTCAGTCGCAATGTTCCCAATTGATGCAACTTATTGAGGTTGGTCCAACAACTCTCTTTTCTTTCATTGTGTGTCAGAAAAACAAAAAGCCTTAATTTATATTGCATGCTGTACTTGTGTGTGTAAAATTGGTATTTTGCGTGACTTAGATCACATTGTTCAATTTATGAACAAAATTCTGGCTTCATTGGGCCTGGCTGAGTGACAGAGTGCGTGTTTTCCCTCCCCCTTGATGATTCAATCTGTGATGGGCTCCACGTTGTTTCATGTGACGTGACTTCATATCAGTGAATTTCACCTTGAGCTGAAGCCCCTGCAGGCCATAAATATTGATTACTTCACCAGACGAAGAACCTATATTGAAAGAAGTAACTTGATAATGCTGGGAGAGTTATTTCTTTCACATTTCCTGAGTCCTGCGGTGACCTGCGGGTTGAATAAAGGCTGATAAGCGTCCTCAGGAGGCGCCGCGGTGACTTAATTAGCGTCCCAGCTGTGCAGCGCCTCGTGCCGCCTCACCTGCCCGTTAATTAGCTGCGACCGGCTAGCTGCTGCTAAACCTGCTAACCTGTCCCCGTCTCCAAACGCCGGGTCGCCGGTGTTAATAACCGAGTTTTTAAAAAATTGTCTCCGCGGACCCCAGCAGCACTGGGAGCCGCACTCGCAGGACAGATTATGAGCTTTAAATTGAAGTCTTTCAAAGTTTTCAAAGTGATAAAAGAAAGTTGAGTGTGACGCTCCTCCTCGGCAGGTGAACAAACGAGCCAATGAAACAATTAAAGGGCAGCAGCAGGGTTCTTACCAAAGTCTTCAGCTAAAACACCGTCTTCGTCCATAGCGACTCAGGCCACCGACAAAATCCAATAAACTCCTACTAATAATCAATTAAGGCACGCAGGGTTACGAAGCGGATAGCTGTGGGGCTGCGGGTTAATCAGGTTGATTGATTGATTAGATGTCTCAGTGCTGTGTGACGGAGAATTATCACGTGAAGAGTGAAACCGAGGCAGCCAATCAGCGGTGAGAACACCTGCATGGAGACAGCATGAAAACAAACGGGCACGTGGGGGTGGGACAATGCTAAATTAATTTTAAATGTAATGATTTTAAAAATGAGATCATTGTAAACACAAAGACACATATTTTCAATTTAGTCATTTAAAAAAAAAAACATATATGTATGTGCTTGTAAATTAATTCTGACTTTAAAATGTAATGTTTTTTAAATAATTATATAAATATATGTAATGTTTGAATATTTAAAAATCACTATATTCAAATAAATTAACATGAAGCATTAATAATTGTTATATATATATATATATATGTATGATAGATGTGTGTGTGTGTGTGTGTGTGTGTGTGTGTGTGTACATCATATAAGACTACAAAAAAAAACATGAATTTTCTCAATCAGTTTTAGTGATTGTCAATATTGGAGATTGAGGTTTGAGAGTTGGCAGCCATCTATCTTGGTTTTTGTATTGTAGTTTAATTGGCTGTATATCCAGTTGTTTAGATTTACTGAACATGAGAGTATTTATGTTTCACAGTTTTAGATGATCAGTTTACTTGGTGATATATACATTTGCAACCAGTTTAATCTAAAGCTGTGTGTACCAAACCAACAAAGTTTCTAATAGTTGAACAAGGT